ATAGCAGGCAGTTGGAGTAGAAAAACAAACCAAATGGTAGAAGATTTAAAAAAAAAATGAAAACTGCTTAAAGAAGCATAAAAAAAGAAACATGAAATTACAGAAGATCAATATATAACATAATGTATTAATGGACTAAATCCCTTAGTTTTTTTTTAAAAATGATCAGACTTTGGCACAAGAGCTCAACAATAACAACTTTATATGTACATAACACAAACATTTGTAGCTATCTTCAAAAGGCTGAAGGCAAAGGAGTTGGCAAAGTTGTACCCGGGAAATGCAAATATGAATAACAAGGATAATTCTGTTCGCTGAGGTAAAGTTGAATATAGTGGGGCCAGGCAAGAAGCTTTCCTCCCTGGTAATAAAGAATCACTTTGTAAGGATGAAGGGCACAATCCAAATAGGAAAGAAACTGTATGCATAAAGTAATATTTCTATATACAAAGCTTAAACTATAGAAAATAAAAGAACAGCACAAACACAATAGTATTGGGAGATTCTAACACATTCCCTTAATGTCAACAGATAATGTGGTGAAAATGAAGTAAGCTACAAAAAATTTCCTAATGTAACAAAATTGAGCTAATGAGAGACCTACTAGAGTTTGTTATCTATTATGAAGATATAACTATATTGTAGGTTGGGCTATTGGGAAACAAACTCTAAGATGGAGATATGCATGTAAGAAACTTTTGTGTAGCTGTTCTCGAGGAGGCCATAATTGGTACTCATTCAGTACTCATTCTGCTCTATTAACCATTCTAGATTCACCTCACCCTTCACCTAGTACCTCTGCTGGTCTGAGATTTCTTGCTTGGTAAAATAATCTGACCTTTCATCTCCTAAAGATTCAGTACAAGTCAGAACTGGGGATGGGTTACCACATAGTTACTCGGAGACCCAGGCTGAATGAAGGTCCACCATCTAGATGGTTACTGGACAGTGTCAGGGAAAGAGAAAGCTGGGTGGTGTGCACTGGCTTTTCTGTGCCTGGAAGTGACACATTATTTCTCAGAGCCCATTGACAGAGCTGGCCACAGGACTTGCTTAACTGCAAAGGAGCCAGGAAATGTGGGGGAGCGCAGGCTTCAAAATGGTGGTAAGCATCTATCTCTGCCATAGCCTCCCCTTCTGGCTAGCAGACATTCCTTTGTTCCCTTTATTCCATGCCTCTTTAAGGTAGATAATCCAAAGTTCTGTTTCATCAACATATTTGTCAGATTCAGACGTTGCTCGTCTTGGTCCAGGAACGTAGGAACTGGAATAACCAAGGTATCTGACCACCCTCATCATCTCCTCCCTCCTAAAATACCCTCGATAGAGTGGCAGACAGGGACACAACTACCACAATAAACAATCCCATCTGAAAAACGGAAAAATGCAGTCATTGGCTAGTTGTAATTGAATTCTTCTGGGCAGACATTGTGAGCATCCCTTGCTTTGGGGGTGGGGAATATTTCTTCATTAGGCCCCAACTCTGATCTCTGCAAGAAGCACCCTGTCTGCAATTCTCTGTAATATCTGACTCTACCTGATGGGAGAGTCTTCCTTTTCTTTATCTTCCTTCAATATATCTGAAGTGGGGATTGAAGAATGTGCTCTCCATGGGGGCCTGCTTCCCACTTGTAAAAGATGGGAGCCCAAAAGTAATTTTAAAGCAGTATTTTTCAACTTTGCCACTATTGACATTTTAGATTTAATAATTCTTTCTTTTGAGAGGCTGTCTTGTACATTGTAGGGTGTTTATCAGCATTCCTGGCCTTTACTCACTAGATGTCAATAGCAGTTCCCAGTTGTACAACCAAAATTGTCTCCTGACATTTTTCCCCAGGGGACAAAATTGCTTTAAATTGAGAACCACTCTTTTAAGAATAGAGCCACTCTTTCTAGTATAGAATGATCATAGACCTGAGAGTTAGCTAGCTTGTTCAGAAACTTGGGAGGTTTTAGCTGGGCTCGGTGGCTCAGCCTGTAATCCCGTGCCTTTGGGAGGCTGAGGTGAGTGGATTGCCTGAGCCTGCGGGTTCAAGATTCGCCTGGGCAGCGAGACCTCATCTCTACAATAAATCAAAAAATCAGCCAGGTGTGGTAGTGCATGCCTGTAATTTCGGATACTGGGAAGGCTGAGGCGGAAGGATCGCCGGAGCCCAGCAGGTCGAGGCTGCAGTGGCCGGGAACAGCCACTGCACTCCAGTCTGGGTGACAGAGTGAGACTCCAACTAAAAAAAAAAAAAAGAAAAAAAAAGATACTTGGGAGGTTTCTTATATTTTTTATTATAGTTCTTTTCAAACCATCTTAACTTGTGAGTCCTATATTCTTATACTTACTTGAGGCTGCCTTGAAGCTACTTTTATGCTTTCAGGCTTTTCTGTTGGCAGATTGAGGCTATTTCATCAATTGAAAGATTTGACAGGACTTTTTTCCTCAAAAGTTTTCAGAATTGTTATGTGAAAATGATGCCTAGAAACCAATCCAAGATATAAGTGGCTTTAAAGCAACATTTTGCTCAGGGGTCTGCAGGGTTGGCCATGCAACACTGCTCCAGACCTTGGGTCAGGTTCAGACTTGTTTCATGTTCAAGTTTCAGCATCTAAATTGAATTATCCTCCATCGACATGCTTTTCTCATACTGAAAGGTAGAAGAGTAGGAGCCATCTAAATCAAACACATTCCTTCAATGTCATTGGCTAAAAGAAGTTACATGACTGAACCCATCAATAGGATAAGGACACATTATGATGTGGGTAGGGATATTTGCAGAACAATCTACCATACCTTTTTGGAGGTGTTAGTAATATTTAGCTTCTCCAAAATGCCAAGGACTTGAAATTCTAGACTCTGTTCCCTTGTATTTCTACTTTTAAAAGCAGCCAATTATTTTAAATGTGCGGCCAGCAGTTACCAACACAAACTTCTGAAGTTTTGCTTTCCAGTCTCTTCTTCTAGAGCTGAGGTCAGCAGGCTTTCTGTAAAGGCCACGTGGTAAATATTTTAGGGTTTGGAAATAATGCAACCTTTATCAAAATTACTAGATTCTGCCACTGTAACATAGAAGCAGCCATAGATAGTATATAATTGAATAATTGTGACTATGTTCCAATAACACTTTCTTTACACAAGCAGGCTGTCCTTAATTTGCCAACCTTTGTTCTAGAGCTTTAGGTTCATTATGTAAGTGCTGTGGAGGTGACAGCTTCCTGAAATGTTTTGCTACTATATAACCTAGATCACCTTTCTAACCTCTGCTGTTAGTTTCTTTGCTGCATAACTTGCTAAGCCATGATCCTGTATTTTTGTAATAGTCAACACCCCATTCCTGGGACCAGTTTCAGTGATATAATAGATTCAGCTATGCTGAGGTAACAAACCATGAACTCTCAGTGTCTTAATACAACTAAGGATTACTTCTCGTACTGTTTGTCAAGTACAGTTCATGGTAGGGGTGGATACTCTACTTTTCATAGATGCTCAGCAACCTGGGCTGCCAGAATGTCCTCTGTCTGGAATGTTCCTAATCACCAAAGCAGGGGAGACCACAGGAGATTGTGTACTGGCCCTTCTTTTCTTTGCTTCCTTTCATGGGTTAGAACTACTCATGTGGCCTTGCCTAACTAAGGAGGCTAGACAAATGTAGAGAAGAAGGTAGAATGTTAGGTTAGTTCCACTGCCATAAATAGGTAAGCTAATCTCCTAAACCTATCCGTGATTACCTGTCAAAATTTGTTAAAGACAAACATACATACTTTTCTGGATGTTGACATTAGAAAAGCAGTATTAGCCGGGCTCGGTGGCTCAGCCTGTAATCCTGCGCCTTTGGGAGACTGAGGTGAGTGGATTGCCTGAGCCCACGGGTTCGAGACCCACCTGGGCAGGCAAGACCTCATGTCTACAATAAATAAAAAAATCAGCCGGGCGTGGTAGCGCATGACTGTAATTCTGGCTACTCGGAAGGCTGAGGCGGAAGGATCGCTGGAGCCCAGCAGGTGAGGCTGCCGTGGCTGGGAGCGGCCGACTGCACTCCAGTCTGGGCGACCGAGTGAGACTCCAATTCAAACAAAAAAAAAGAAAAGCGGTATTTGTCTTTCAAGCTAGCTTTTTTCCCCTTTTGTATTAATCACTGCTGTTTAATATATGTGCTGCACATCAGTGCAAGTAATGCAATATATTTGTGATGTGAAATGGTTCCTTCCTTCTTCTTTGGTCCTTTGGTTCATAATAGTACTTATCAAGGCTAACAGCCAAGGTACATTAAACATGAAGCCGTGAATGTTATGCTGCTGCCTTGCTTTTAATGGGCACAACACAGAATTCCTTAAGGTTGAGGTCAGGTGAAAAATTCTTCACAAAGACATTATTTAGTACTATCAACAGCCAGTAATTTTATGAATTAGTAGCACTAAGACAGTGGTGTTCTACAAGAAGACAAAAGTTTTATGAGCAAATTTGTGTAATTTCAGGTGGGAAATCAGGAACAGAAAAACTGGTATTGACTGTTCTGGTCTCTTAGAACTGAGTATCTGCTCATCTGAAAGGTCAAATAGCATTTACTAAGATCGACAGAATGGCCCATTGTTAATTAGTAACATCTATTTAAAGCTTATTGTGACTTTAAAATATCGGTAATGTGTTATGCAAATGAATATAAATGCTAACTTATGATACTTTCTTTTACTGTAATAATTTCTATGTGACATTTGATATGTCTTTCCAAATCCTTTTTATTTTGTTTGACCAAAAATTTCTAGCTAATCATAATTTCTAGCAAATAAAACATTACTAACTACTCTAACAACTATATGTATTCATAAATAAAAAATATCATAAGCTAACTTCTCAGGTTTGCCTTTCTGTGTTGAATCTGTGTGGTGAAATTATAATGAGAAAAGTGAACAATTAGTATGAATTGTTTTGCAAGTGATAGAATAACTTTATTGTGAACTGCAAGATCTTTGTAGCTATCATAGCAGTCATTTTTTATTTTTATTTTCTGAAGGACTTAAAGCCCAGTAACATAGTAGTAAAATCAGACTGCACTTTGAAGATTCTTGATTTTGGTCTGGCCAGGACTGCAGGAACAAGTTTTATGATGACGCCTTACGTGGTAACTCGCTACTACAGAGCACCTGAGGTCATCCTAGGCATGGGCTACAAGGAGAACGGTCAGCACACATTATTTATTTGAAATACTCTTTTGATTTGGTTTTTTTTTAATCATATTTTTTAAAGTAAATAGTTATACTGAAGTGCATTGAGTTAAATGTGTCACTGTTTGAAATGTATGTCAAAAGTTTGAAAGTAACTATAAATTTTGTCATAAATGTTTGGAAAAACTTGAGGACCCTATTTATTTAAATACAAGTACATACCATCATCCTATCATTGGATGAAGAATTTATTACCATGGCCCCCAAAACAGAGTACATGCCTTTTGCTTGCCTTTAACTGAAAAACGAGCAATTCTAGCATGGGCTCAGAGACTTAGATAGTGTACTTACAGTATATTCTTAGTAATCTTAGTGTATGCTAGTGATATTTGTTTTACTTCCAATCCCATGAAACTAAAATTAATAGCAGTAGCACTTAGAGTAAACTTTAAGGGCTACAATAAGGCCTTTTGAAAAGCTAATTGATAAAGTGATCTCTTGGAGAAAGCAATAATGTTTCATCAAAACCTTGTGTTCAGCCTTAAATTATTATGTGTAGATATAGCTAATATATTTATCAACCTTAGAATCAACGTTGAAGAAAATTACCTGGCATGTAGATAATAAATTTCAATAGTTTTATGCATCTACATACTTATATTTAGTTTAGGAAGAAATGTTGAGCCTCAAATTTAGGAGACAGATAAATCTGTATGAGATTTTATGGGATTAACCCATATTTTTTTTAATGTGGTAACTTCATCCAAAATATTACCTAGAGTAAGACTTAGACTTTCTAGCAAGGAATCTGGAACAGTAGTTCACTTGGAATCCAGAAACTTTAATGTCAACCTTTAAGATTCTTTTTTTTTTTTAAAGATGCCATTGAACTGAGGGTTTTAGCTTAATTGCCTTATCTTCTATGAGCTAATTAAAAACAAATACTTTAAACATTTACTGTCAAGCTCTATTCTTAAGTAAATATACTGGTTTTTTGTTTGTTTTGTTTTTGGTTTTGAGATTTAGCAACTTCAAATGACCCACTAGCATGCAGATTGCTTTTGCATTTGCTGTGAAGCTGTTGAGTCACAAATACTATGTAATGTGTCAGTGTCCTATAAATGTGATCTTGGGATAGCTCCCTACCAGAAATTAGCACTAAGAAAAACTATCTCATAAAGAATTGACATGCATTGCTCTGTTGAGAATCAAGTTGATCACCTTACTGCTGTCCTACTCCTACCCCAGGAAACTGAGTCAAATGTAATGCTTAATGATGAGAACTGTAATACATTAGCTAGCAAGGTTAAACATAAGTACTGCCTCCTTTAAGTGACACTTCCTTCTGTTTTAAAAACTTTGTTTCATCTTTTATTGCAAGCCACCTCAGAGCTTTATTTTTGAAAGTAGAGTGTAATCAATATATTTTAACTGCCTAATAGACTAAGCATTTAGATTTTTTAAAGCTAGTTTTGTGTATGAACCAGGCCTATCACGTTTTTGGTCTTCACTGACCCAGATAATATTTACTTCTCTCATGCTTGTGGCTTTCAAAATATTTTTGTTTAAAAATATGTTTTTCCAAAGGTTACCAACATACGCTATATCATGGACATTTTCTATTATCTATAAAACCCATAGGAGGCCGGGCTCAGTGGCTCAGCCTGTAATCCCAGCACTTTAGGAGGGCAGGGTAAGTGGATTGCCTGAGCCCGTGGGTTTGAGACCCACTCGGCCAACTTGGCAAGACCTCGTCGTTACAATAAATCAAAAAAATTAGCCAGGCATGGTAGCACATGCCTGTAGTTCGGGCTACTTGGAAGGCTGAGGTGGAAGGATCACCTGAGCCTAGCAGGTCGAGGCTGCGGTGGCCCGGAGCGTGCCACTGCACTCCAGTCTGGGTGATAGAGTGAGACTCCAACTCAAAAAAAAAAACATGGGAAAGATGTATTCTATATAGATTTCTGTCAAAAATGAAAACCTTGGAAAAATTTTTTTTTGATGGACTGATTTATGAATATTTTCCTCTAAAATTTAATTCTTGACAATTGAATCATACCATAAATATACAAATGCTTTGTATTCACTTTAATAAGAAGTTTTAGAGAAACCTTAGTTCTGCAGGATTTCCAAAAGCAATTCTTAGTTTAGCTCAAGAGACTCTTCAGTGAACTGTAGCCTTCTTATAAGAACATTCTGTATTAAAAAGTACAGACTTTTATTTTCTAAGTCCTCGAACTTGGGTAAAGGGTATATGTCTCTCTAATAACCATTCCTGCCCTTTTCCTTCTGGTCTTAAAAAATGTGGACCTTCATACTTCAAAATCAATTGCAAGTTTTTAAGCCTTTTCCTTTTAGACTGCTTACCCTTCCACTCTTTTCCTATTACACTGCTAGCACCAACTCTCTTTTTTTGTCTGTTATTAAAATTGTCAGGATATGTTGTTAGTTTCAGTAAGGAGGTGAAGTACCCAAATTGCTTGTTTCTGTGTCTAACAGATTATTTTCAGCGTTGATCAGGGCTCCCATTTAAAGTTGGTGAGGTCAGTAAGTCGGGTGGGAGACTCTTTGTAGATATAAATCTGTGGGAACTTTGGTATTGTAAGTAGCCAAAACTGACTTCTTAAACCAAAAGTGGTTTGGTTTTGTGGGTTTAAAAAACTTTAGGTAGGAAGCATGAAATATACTTCTCTTACTCAGTTTTATTTGATTAGTTTACTAGTTATTAGTTGTTCATTCTCTGTGCACTTGTTCCTTTTAGGATAGTAAGGTAAATGTAACATGATGTTGCCAAGAAAATAATTGACTTCTAATTCATAATAAATATAGCACTTCTCAATTAATACATTTGTGAAATCCAGATTGAAAATTTCTAAAGAGCTTTAGATTAACTTTTTATTGTAAGTATCCATAGAACCGTTGTTTCTGTTAAATATTTCAATATGCTAAATTATTTTCTCATGCTTTTTTCTTTTATTTAACTTAAAGAGAGAGCATAATGCACAGTTGAACCTCAAAATTGTTTAAATGTTTTTAAAATAATTTTACTACTTCATGTGCATTTTTAACCTTCTTTATAAAGTTTGTGCTAGATTCTGTTTCATATTTTATAAACAAATTCTCAGGTATAAAGTGTGCAGGCGGTTTTTTTTTTTTTTTAATTTATGCAGTTTCTGTGCATAGCTCTCGCTTTAAAATTAGATACGTAGTTAAAATGCCACACTTTACGTTTTCTTTTGTGACCAAAGTCTTTTGAAAAATACTTTGTGTTTTAAATTCTTCCATTAGCTAAAATTATAGTCACTTTTTTTCTTTTTGTGATGTTTTGCAGTTTTTATATGATGCAGTCATGTTATGCTTCTTTGATTTTAACAAGCTTTTGCTTTGCTTTTCCTTCTTTTGTGCTGCAAACATATAGTGGATTTATGGTCTGTGGGGTGCATTATGGGAGAAATGGTTTGCCACAAAATCCTCTTTCCAGGAAGGGACTGTATCCTTGTGCTGCTGCAGCAGTTTAATTGGTTAGGTGATGAATTTCTTTATGTTTTCTAATGAAAATAAATATACTACATATACTTCATACATATGGGTTTTTTAAACAAGCATAACGTTTGTGGCTGTTATTGTTCAAAAATTGTTGAAATAAGGAGCTGAAATATTTGTAGGCTGCATCTGGCAGTAGGACATACAGTCTCTGCTGGTAGTCAGAGCACATTCACTGTCACTCATTTTTATTTTATTCTGCTTTTTATAATTTTAAAGTATACATGGTGTGTGTGATTTTTTTTAACGTTTATATTTTTTTATTTTAACCAAAATCTTTATGTTAATGTCATTGCATTTTGTTTTCAGTTGACATTTGGTCAGTTGGGTGCATCATGGGAGAAATGATCAAAGGTGGTGTTTTGTTCCCAGGTACAGATCGTATCCTTATCTTTGGCCTAAAATGTAGTCTCTAAAGGTCAAAATGTATGTCAGCACTTCAGCTTGGTCAGGTATAATGTATTTTGTCTCTCCCTGATATAAAGTATTGTTAAATTACTCTTTCAAAATACCACCTACTATTTGATATAGGCTTTCCTTTCCCTCATTTATTGTTTCATATGTTAATGATGCTCAGTTACAATTATCTACAGTTACTTGCTGGCTTTGAATTGATTTATTTAACTTAAATCAAAAATCATGGCTTGCATTAAAAATTTCTAATAATTACGCACTTGAGTAATCCTAGAAATACTTAGGACTTTAAATGAATTTTGAAATTGTCTGTTGCTTCTGGCCATCCTTTTGTTTTGTCCTCCTACCTCCTTTTTGTTAATGTTCTGTGTGGTTTGTGTCTTTTGATTGTTGTCTCATTACTCAACATAACATACTGATTCTTTCATCTGAGAATTTCATCAGTAAAAGTTTTATATTGTGATTGGATTCATGCTTTTTGTTCATCTGACTACTTTTAATATTTATATTAACAGTGATCTGTTATGATCTGTTGTGTGTTAATCAACTAGTAACACTTAGAATTGTTTTAGGAGGAGGAATGGGAAAATCCATGTTCACTAGGTTCCATAAGTGAGTTTTAGGCATTGGCCTTCAGGAGCTTGGAGACCAGGGAATCCCAACCTTATAACTTATCGAAAAGCTGAATATCTTTCATAGGAGACAGGAGACCAGGGAATCCCAACGTTATAACTTATCAAAAAGCTGAATATCTTTCATAGGTTTCATAACTTTAAAAAAAAATTATTGACATAAGCTAAACAAAGAATGGGAAAACAAACTTTTTGGGAGGCTTCATTTTTTCAGCCTCTAGTTATTTTCTGTTAGAGTAGAAAACTCAAAATAGCAAGACAGATTATAGAAATACTTCTTATTTTCTAGGAAATACTATCATGTTTTCTGATAAGTTGGAAAAAAAAGGCAGATTTTGAATATTAGGATTGTGTGTAGTTTGCGTTTAGAGTCCTATAGATAGTAATTCTCATTATTTAAGTCACTTATAATATGTATTTAGAATTTGTGAGTTTAATCTTCTATTTTATGGTAAAATCAGTATTAGCACACATACACAAACAATAAATAAGATTAACAAAGCTTATTTATTGATCATTTCTGTCCACCTACAATCATTGCCTTTTGCAAGGTGGCTGCAAGACATAAAATTTACAACTGCCACATTTATTCTTAGGAATTTTTAAATTTCTGTTTTCATGTATTTTAATATGGATATGACTAATATGTTGAACATTAGATATGGAGTATTTTTCTTAGCTACTTGATATTAGATATTGATCAGTGGAATAAAGTTATTGAACAGCTTGGAACACCATGTCCCGAATTCATGAAGAAACTACAACCAACAGTAAGGACTTATGTTGAAAACAGACCTAAATATGCTGGATATAGCTTTGAGAAACTCTTCCCTGATGTACTTTTCCCAGCTGACTCGGAACACAACAAACTTAAAGGTATTTTAAACAAATATATACATTTAATTGCATGGGGGTATATTCATACTCCTATGGGACATCACCCAGGATTTTCTCTGGATGGTGAAACAAAATGAGGTTTCAGTTATTTTTATCTTTAATTTTATATTTTTAAATCATGTGTGACCTAATTTTATAGTAAAAACTATTTTTTTAAACCATATGCTTTTTAAATAAAAGATAATCTCAAGTTTCTGAAATTTTGAGAACTTTTACAAATATGTGTACATTAACGTCATTATTTTTGCAGCCAGTCAGGCAAGGGATTTGTTATCCAAAATGCTGGTTATAGATGCATCTAAAAGGATCTCTGTAGATGAAGCTCTCCAGCACCCATATATCAATGTCTGGTATGATCCTTCTGAAGCAGAAGCTGTAAGTTCTTTACTTAACTTTTGAAAAACATATTGTATTCTTAAAGTTAGAATTAAAGTTAGGTTTGAAGGAGACCTTTTAATTTTAAATAAAAATATAGATACATGATGATGATGTTTTTCTGTTTCTGCATGAAGAGTACCTTAGTTAAATTAATGAGCATATGCAAACATCTCCTATACAAAATAAAGTATCTCCTGCTATTTCTTGCCTTTGCCTGGATACCTAATCAGAGGAGCTAGGATACTGAGCACTCTGGGGAAACATCCTAACTCAGTTATAAAACAAATTACTGTTTTCAGGGGACAGCAGAATTCTGTGATACAAATAAAACATGACAGTTTCTAAAGTTGGAAGAAAAGGCAGTTAAACCTGTTTTTCCTGCAGTAAAGGAGTCTTCCCAAACTAGTTTGTCTACATAAGATGTTTGTTGGTGATTGATCAGTCATAGTCTAATGATGCATTTTTGCCAGTCTTCTGTCTAATATTTCAAACAAAAATAATTAAATACTCTCAGTATACTGACTCAATTATTATTGCCTTGTGATTTTCAGCCACCACCAAAGATACCTGACAAGCAGTTAGATGAAAGGGAACACACAATAGAAGAGTGGAAAGGTAACATTCATCAGATTCTTAGAGAAAAAACTGAAAAAGCTTCTGATTTTTCTTGGTGATTTATTTATCATGTTAGAGAAATTAATGATACTTTCTATTATTCCTAACTGATATTTGGTAATATGATTATTAATATTTTTACAAAAGTAAGACTGCATCTCTCTCTGACTTAATTTTAATTTCCCAAGTTTCCCACACCAGACACAGACATGTTAGTGCTTTCTCTTATGTTTTTCCATGGTCTGTGAATATACAAACATGTTGATGTCTCCCACCTCTCCTCTTCTACCCTTTTTAAAATCATACATGATTATATATTGTGTATCCTGTGCATACTTGCTTTGTTGATATACTCATATATCCTGAAGATTATTCTCCTTTGGTCCACGTATCTGCCTCATTTGGTTTAATCACTGACTAGTGTTCTGCTGTATGCGTGTGTCACTATTTCTATATCTGACTCCCTCTTGAAGAGCATTTAAGTTGTGTCTATTCTGTTGTTGTTACAAACAATTCTGCAGTGTTCTTGTGCACGTGTGAGAACATGCCTATAAGAAAAATCCTAGAAAGAGATGTGCTGGGCCAAAAACTATTTTTCAATTATTTCCAGATTACTTTCCAAAGAAGTTTTAGTAATGTACACGTCCATCAGTATTGTATAGGCATCTCTGTTTGCCTCACATTCGCCAACAGAATGGATTAATTTTTAATCTTTACATAGCTAATATAGTTGTTTAGTTCTGTTTTATGAATGTAGCCGAACGTTCATAATCATATTTTGATAGTCATGGAAACGTTAAAATATTTCTTTAAAAGATCCCTGGGACATTTGAGCCAGATAATTTTTAGATTCTGTTTAACTCTGTGTTGTCATTGAATGTTCTGACCATTTTTGTAATAATGTGCCCTTGAATAAATCACTGGTCTCCCCTTGTTACCTTATCTTAAAATGGAGAAGACCTGTTATTAAGAGCTGAGTGTCTAAATACTGGGAAGGCAAAGGGGACCAGGAGAGGTATAAACATGAACAGGTGATCCATTTATAAATTTATTAAGAATGAATTTGATTCTTTCTTCTTTAGAATAGCTAGAGATTATATTTCCTCTGAGTTGACTTTGGAAAACTCATGATTATTAGAGCCCAGCAGAATGCTAAAAGTAGGTAGAGCCTGAAGTATTTGAATATGTAATAAGTAGTGTATAAAGGTGTAAGTTAGGACCAGTGTGTGCTAAAATAATAACCTGTTATTTTTGTACTCTGCTAATTTACAGTAGACATTTATGGTATTTTATAGAATCTTAATAAGTCAAGAATTGTAAGATACACCAAATACTACCAATTGTATGCACCATTGTTAAAAAGATGTAGCCAATTTCAGATTCTGAACTGTGAAAAAAGTACATCTTAAAATCAGTGAAATACAGTGTTTTCATTTGCATAAGGATATATTGGGAGTTTTTATTACTTTAAATATATAGACCTTTATTCTGTATCTTTTTCTCCTATACAAGTGCATTTCAGTAATTACCCACAAACTGCCTTTTTTGAAGATCTGCGTGAGTTTTAGCTCATAGCAGAAAGAAAAATCCATTGCCAAAGCCATTGACTACAGATTGCTAACTGCTTCTAGTTAGCTTTGGTTCTTCTGCCTTATTCCTTTTGTGCCAGTTCACAAAGGGGTGTTATTTTCTCTTTAAAAAAAAAAAAATCTGCCTATCTTGAATGTTTATATTCCTTTTGGTCTCTTTGAAGAAAAGCATCTTTTATTCTCTTCTCTGAAGGCTTTCTGTTTTTCTTCATTCAACTCCAGGATTACCATAGCAAGCAAACTTAGGTATCTCTAGCTGTCATTTATTTCAACGTATTCACTTGTTTTACCTTATTCCCAATATGAATGTCATACCCTGTAACCAGGGATTCTTTTATCAGAAGTGTAATCTTCCGGAATTAACACAGAATCCATGAAGTGCTGTGCAATATTTTTTGTTTGTACCTTTTTCTTAGTAGAAGATTTATTGTATTTTTGCAGTTCTCAAAAGATTTCGGGACCCAAAGAAGATGATGAATAATTGGGAGTAGCATCCATCAGAAGGTTCTTCCTAAATAAATGTTTAGACTCACAAGGCATACCACACTTAACATCAAAATTACTTAGAAGAATATAGGGTAGGAAAGAATATAGGGTAGCAGAGCAGCACCCAGTGCATCTCTTTAGTTGGAGCTGCCCTTGCAGTCATCCACATACTGTCTAGAAGCTACTAAGAGAACAAGATTCCCATGAAGAAACTTTCTTGGCAATGAGAGCATGTCATGCTGGACTATGCATAAGGAGTTGAAATGTAGCTACCCACTTATTTTCCTTTAATAAAAAAATGTATCTATTTATATTTCATTTGATTTAAGAAGCTTCTACACACTCTTTGATTTAAATCTTTTTAGCAGATATCCAGATGACCTACAATATCCTAAGCACTATGCCAGGGCTCAGAAAATAGCAATTAATAAGACAAACACAGTTCAAGCCCTCATTGAGACAAATTTGTAGTACGGAATGTTGGATGGTATGATATGCTCTAGTAGAAGGTGCTGGTGGAGTAAAAAAGGTAAAACTTGTAACCCCAGCACTATCAAACCAGCCTAAGAAACATTAGTTACAACAGGGATTTGTACTTTCTTTCAGTATAGTTAATGGCTGGGTTTTAAGAACCCAGTATAGTTAATGGCTGGGTTTTAAGGTTGTTATTAACACCTTTCAAACAAGCTGGCACAGACTACCCTTGTAAGGACACTATTTGAAGTACTTAACGTCTAAAAATTTTGACTTAACCATACATATCTTGTGAGATTGGCTCCTAGACTTTGAAAAGTTGATTTTTGTTTACTTCTTTTCCAGAATTGATATATAAGGAAGTTATGGACTTGGAGGAGAGAACCAAGAATGGAGTTATACGAGGGCAGCCTTCTCCTTTAGGTTGGTTACAATATAAGCTTAGTTAAAATTGCAGTTTACTTCTTGTGTTGTAATCTTCAGTGGCCTGAGACCAGCAGTTCTTCCCATATTTTTACTTAACCATTATTATTCCAAGTTTAATAAGTATAAGTATGATTTGAGTGGTTAAATTTGAAAGCATTGGTACACCATTGTATCAATACATTGTGCCAATATATTAGTAACTGACTTCATAAAATGCACATCTTTTTCTGTGATACTGATATTCCATTGAAAAATGGAAATCTAAAACTTTTTTCCATTGGCAATGTTGCCTTGTCTTTAAAGAAGAAATTTTTCGAAGTTCAATATACTTACATTTCTATGGTCTTCATTTTTTTACTTTGGATAAATAAAAGCTTCACTGTAAAATTTGGTGCATGTGATACCAAGATACTTTCCCTCTTCTTGGTATTTTAGATTTGTTGAACTAAGGCAATAGCATTAAAACCATTACTAGAAAGTGTTCATTCTTTAAGAAGAAAACTGGTTTGCAGGACCTAAAACATTTTTTTAATCATAAACTGATCTTAACACTTAATTTTAGTACAGGTAAAAGTATAAAGAATTAAGGGAAAATGTTAAATGGCAGGTAACATGTACATATGAAGAATATACAACATGACAGGCACAGGTTATTTACGTACTTTATTTCATTCATCCTCAAAGACCCCAAGGTAGGGATTATTATGCGCACTTTACAGATGAAGAAACTAAAGTTCAGAAAATGTAAATAACATAAGATTTCAAATCTATGTAGAAGAACTAATACAATAACTTCAGAGTGTATAATTTTTGCAACATCCCATTTTGTCTCTGGCCATCAGCAGAGACTTCTCTGGTTATACAGATCAAGACAGTTTTATGGAAGAGGTGAAATTTGAGCTGAGCTTTGAATGCTGAGTAGTATTTCAAAAGATTGGTGTTGATTTTGAGTAAAACTATGCCATTTATTTATTTATTTTATTTATTTATTTTTTTGAGTGGGAGTCTCACTCTGTCGCCCAGACTGAAGTGCAGTGGCACACTCCCAGCCACCACAGCCTTGACCTGCTGGGCTCCGGAGATCCTTCCACCTCAGCTTCCAAGTAGCTGGAACTACAGGCACGCGCTACCACGCCCAGCTAATTTTTGATTTATTGTAGAAATGAGGTCTCACCAAGTTGCCCCGGTCAGTCTCAAACCTGTGGGCTCAGGCAATCCACTTGCCTCGGCCTCCCAAAGTGCTGGGATTACAGACTGAGCCACCGAGCCCAGCCAAAACTATCCCATTTGAATACCTCAAAAACTTTTCTGCATTATAAGAAAAAATAGTATTTATAACTTGTTTATTGGTAAGGTTTTTTAACTATAATTTTAGATGTCCATTGTACTATAAACATATAATCATTTTTGTAGCTTCTTTTGACATTTTTGGTTATATTTTAGAGTTGTGTATTTTATCTTATTTATTTTAATGATTATTATTATTTTTTGAGTCGGAATCTCACTCTGTTGCCCAGGCTGGAGTACAGTGGTATGCTCATGGCCACCACAGCCTCGACCTGCTGGGCTCAAGTGATCCTTCTGCCTTAGCCTTCCAAGTAACTGGAACTACAGGCGCATGCTACTATGCCCAGCTTATTTTTTGTTTTATTGTAGGGACGATGTCTCACTAAGTTGCCCAGGCTGGTCTCAAACCCCTGAGCTCAGGCAATCCTCTCTCCTCAGCCTCCCAAGGTACCTGGGATTACAGGCTTGAGCCACCGCGCCCAGCAGAGTTGTGTATTTTAAATACTTCAACAGGAATGTAGTCTTCTGGATTATAATATAAATCCTATTGAAAATATAAATTGGTTTCAACAGCTTTTGCCTCTTTTCGAAAAGGTATTTTCTCGATAATTTGCTTATAACAATTTAAAAGCTATATTATAAATACTTTAATTGTATAGCTAATGAATTAGCTTTGTATTTCTATATTTTAGTAGCTACTTTTATTGTTGAGAATTAAGGCTTGGGTGGGATTTAATTGTCCATCATTAGGGACAATTTTATACTTTAGTATACTTTAGTATTCAAGTGAGTAACACGTCCTAAGTGTCACATGTTTGAGCAAGTGTAATAATCTCATGAGATGGAAAGAGCAATTATAAATTAAAATTCACTTATAAATTAAGATGTTCTTAATTTATACGTGAATAAATTGCCAAAACAACATTTGCTTCACAAAATAAGTCAGTGGAAAGGACCAGACATGAGGTTTTTAGATGTTTTCTGAAATCTTATTATAGCTTGCAAAGAACAGTGTTAGGAAATCAAGTGGTTATAAAAATATTCAGCTCTTGATTTTGTACAAAAACAGAATATTTTTTGATAAATAAGTATTAGAAGCTTCCATATACTTTGATTTAAATCTTTTTAGCAGATATCCAGTTGAGTACCATTTTCAATTGATTTTTTAAAAGAATTATATTATTTTTTCCCGGTGGATTTCTTTCCTATCTTTGTTTTGGTTTACTAACATTAAAATGTCTACCTTGAGTGGGTGGAGACTCACTAAGGGAAGTGACCCAGATACCCGAGATTAAAGATTTTCCATATTATTGCCATTCAGATATTTGAGAATTGATTGTATGGCTTTGAAGTTTGGAGAAAAAAAGTATTTTTTTTTCATAGATACTTGATTTTCAAATTAAAAAGTTAACTATTCGTGATACAATTAAAAGTTTTTATAAGATTAAGAAATTTGAATAAAATAAAAGAGATTCTGAACTAGAGGCACAAATAAAAAGGAGCTCTTTTATGCTTTGAATGTTTCAGTACAAGTTTTAGAAGCTAACCATGGTGTACCATGTATGGTATACATATGTACCATACTGTTTAGTCACAAGAGGCACATTCTATAGTGTCGTACTTACTGGTTGAACTAAAAAGAGTATACTATCTCACTTTTACTCTGGCATAAAATCTAATGGACCTTTCTTGGGTCTAGGAGGTTATCACTTTTCTCTTTTTCATCTCTTCTTTCAGACCTGAGATATTCAACCCACTTTCCTGTCCTATTTCAGCTCCCATCACCTACTCTGCTCCTTGTGGTTCCTGTCCTTTCTGTCTCCCAGGCCCCTTTCCACTACCCTAAGGATTTTCCTATTCCTACGACCCTGTCTATTCCTTGTTGCATTTGAAGAAAAGCTCTCAGAGAACATTTCATATTTAAGTGATTTATTGCTCATCTAGACAGGATGAAGGAATAATCATCTCAAACACTGAGACGCTGGGTTCTGGAGCAGTTAATTTTTGCCTGTTTGATTTCAGCATCATTGGGTGCCTGAACCTCACCCTCAGCACCCTCTGCTCAGTGTTTGAAGACTGTTGCTTTTATTTCATAAATGTGTTCTTGAAAACTTTTGTATAACTTGCATTATTCATATTTGGAAGACCCTTATTTAGTGAGTATGTGGTTCCAAAGTACTTAACCTAGTGCATGAATTACCTTTAACATATTCTCCACTCCCAGTATAAGTCATTCCTGCCCCCTTCACAACCCAGCCCCTTTCCTAACCCAACCCCCTTTGAGAGGATTTTCCTGTGTCAAGTATTTCCTATTACTTTTTAAAATCGAGGAAATGCTTGTTAGTTAATACTTTGGGTAAAGGAAACATTTTACTCCGACTTTATTAAATAAATCTGTATTTTTATATATGTAGTGTTTATTAGAGTAGAAACAAGATCTGAGTTTACCTAGCCACTTGAGCAACCCTGCAAGTCACACTAAGTATAAACTAGGTTAGTTGAACACAGCTTCCTTCCAATTAGAATGATTTTATTATTTGTCTTGGTTGTTGCTTTAAAACAAGATATACCAGAAGTATGATTTGGACTTTTTAGTGAGATTATGAATAATTTTCTGCAGGATAGTCATTTTTAACTTTTGTAGTCCTACAGCCCTTTAAGATCTTCTTTCCCTCTACTCAGGCTGTTTTACATGTATTATCAGCAGTATTCAAACAAACCCTGAAGCCTATTTACGAATCTTGCTGCAGGACCATTTCAACATGTGGATTAGACTTTCCCACAACAAAACTGTATACACTGAGTTACTCTACTGAGGCTGTTTTGCATGTATTATCAGCAGTATTCAAACAAACCCTGAAGCCTATTTACAAATCTTGCTGCAGGACCATTTCAACATGTGGATTAGACTTACAGTTCAAGGAAAATTTTTGACCACTGGGGGTAGTCAGTACAGTGCAAGCAGCTCAGTCTGCAACTCTGTCTGCAACTGATTTGCTGTTTTGTTTCTCATAGCACAGGTGCAGCAGTGATCAATGGCTCTCAGCATCCGTCGTCATCATCGTCTGTCAATGATGTGTCTTCAATGTCAACAGATCCGACTTTGGCCTCGGATACAGACAGCAGTCTAGAAGCATCAGCTGGACCTCTAGGCTGTTGTAGATGACTACTTGGGCCTTGGGGGGTGGTGGGAGGGTTGGGGAGTCGGTTAGTCATTGATAGAACTACTTTAAAAACAATTCAGTGGTCTTATTTTTGAGTGATTTTTTTTTCAAAAAATGTAGAATTCATTTTGTAGTAAAGTAGTTTATTTTTTTTTAATTTCAAGTGATGTAATTTAAAACCTAAGTTGTGTTTTTAAAACAGCAACAAAACTGTATTGTATTTTTTGCTGTAATTAACTGTATAATGTAAACCTAATTATTTTATCATGGTTTAAATTTTTTGCATATTTGCTTTATCTTATGCTGCTGATTTTTTTTTTACTGAATTTGTAAGATTTTGTTTATCAAAGCAACTATTATGTGGTGACTTGCTATACATGAATTATTTAAGATTTTTATAGTTTTTTTATTAGAATTTATTTCAGATGTTTTGTTCATGATACTATCCTTCAGGGTTATGTGCTTATCAATGAAATAACCCCAGAGGAGTGTGGGAAAGTAACCTGTAGCCAGTTATATTCAGGAATAACTACTGTAAATGATGAACATGGTAAGAGACCTCCAATATTTGCTACTTGCCAATCCTAATTTAGTTAAAACAGTTGGTAAGCAATCCTACTCAATTTTGGCAAAAGCCCCAACATCTAAATGGCAGGATAACTTAGAACATGTCTTTGAAGATGCTGGGCATCTACCACCTTATCTCCCCACCCTACCCAACAAAAGTCAAGTAAAAAGAATATGGTGTATTCTGCACATTTGTGGCATGCTCAGAGTTTATGATCACATAAAGTCAAGAGGATACTTCATGAATAATAACATTTCAATGCAAATAAACAGATGGTTCACTTCTACTAACTATGAGCCTGTTTTTGTATACACTGAGTTAATCTACTCAGGCTGTAGGTCCCAGCAATGACTGGTCTTTCCCTTTCCTGCAGCTTCGGGCCCTTGGACCTCTCTGGTTTCCTATTACTTGGAGTGTCAGTTGTACACCAGTTCTCCTGGTGTTTCTAGCCATTTGATTTTACCTGTAGCATAATCATACTAGTTGTCGGGAGGTTCTAATGCCTACTAGATTTGTGTAGGTGATGTATCAAATGAGCAATATGCCGTTCATCTGAAAATGGTAGCACACAGCCATATATAGGATATCATTTTCTAAGGACTGTTTATTCACACAGAGCAGAGCAGGCATAAATGATGGTTATTTAGTCTGAGTCTTTCATTTTTTTATACCTGATTTTCAATACAACACACAATGTGGATGTTGAGTAGTGTAAGAATGGTGCTGCTCCTGACAAGTGTATGTTAACTGTTTACATTTTATATCTGCAGAATTATTTCTCAATGATTGAATTTTCCCTAAGTAAATTGAGTCTCATTATTTCTCAAATACATTGTCTGTGATAGACCCAGGCACCTTTTGTTATTGCTGGAACAAGAGGAATTTTGTGTGATGAACTGGGAAATGCATACTTAAATAAGTGGCAAGGTTCTAGGCAGAAAACCCTTTGGAATTTATGACCAACAGGAACAAGAACAGGCACAGCCCAACATACAGTGTCTGAAAGTTTGCTTGGCATTTTGTTTATATATTTAGTGCAAAATTTTTTTTTGGTTAAGGTATTTTTAGGACATTGTTAATGTGCAATATTTAAGATGAAAATACATTAGACTTTTTATATCCTTTGAAATAACAAGTTTGTTTTTGATGGTTTAGGGTCATGACTTCCAGTCTTTTTATCAGTCCCTTTTCTAATACACCATGGTGCATTAATTTTATTAAGCAAATTATTGAGTTTTAAGACTGTAACACCTTGAATTGTAGACACACAAGATTGGGTTCACAATTGTAGCAGAAATTTGAGCATGTGTGTGTATGTTCTTAGTTTATATTAGTTTGACAGATAATTAGCTTTATTTTCTCTAGGATAGGTTATGTCACTGCTGCACTTTTACAGAAGACATGCTTTCAGAAGATTTCCGTATTTTATGTTTGATTGCCGATATGCCATCTCCATTGATACAGATTTTGGTTAATCGAGGAAAACCTTGTGTTCTGACTGTATTGTTTGTTGTAAATGCCAGCTCCCACTTGCCAACCATCGTGATTCAGTTGAATTCAAAGAAAACAAACATGTGTTGCATAATGTACACTAAAATACCTAACATTATATCCTCAGAACAAGGATTTTTCAGATAATGTTTGTTAAATGTTGTGTGCCATAAGTTTTTAAAATACTATATCTAAATACAACTTCCCTGCTTAACTTTGTTAAGCTAATGTATTTTTTTTAATTTTAGAATCTTTAAAGCATCTTAAACATTTCTTTTTTTAAGAGAAATTACAAATAATATCTGTCAAGTAATACTTGTGTAAAGTCACCTTTCTTATATAATTTTGATTTTTCAATCTTTTACACTTAATATACCTAGTCTTACTGTCAGAAAACTATTTTGACTAATTTATTATTCAACTTCATGGATTAGGAAAGATGCTAATTCTTTCTACATGTCTTCCCATTACTATTCTCCTACCTTCTGTTGTATACTGATCGTTTGTAAAGTCATTGTGTTGTTGGGGTCACTTAATTATAATATACATAATTAGAGCATTTCAACTCTCTCATGTTGTTTGCTGAAGTTTTCAGTTTGTCACACACCTTCAGTCACTGATTGTTCCTGGTATGCACTCTTTCACGTTGGCACAATGTGTTTACACCAGACTTCCTAAGATAAATACCAGCCTCTTAAAAGAGAGGCCTACCACACAACCCCCTTAGCAAACCAGAGAAGCTTGATGGTGTACAAAGCAGCACACTTACCTGCCAGCCTTGTTCTGTTGTATGCTAACCCTGCTGTTTTGTCTAAAAAATGAAGGGGAAGAGGACATCAGTGTCTGATAGTGAATCAATAGCAGGCAAGTGACTCTGTTTCCTTGGTTACAGATAAGACTTGGGTTACACTATCAGCTAGTATCTGCTGCACATATGAAGACTTAACTATTCAGTGTTGCCTAGGCACTAGCCTGCACAACATTTTGAGGTTAAAACATAGTATATTTTCAAAAGTACTATTGTAGTCTGTGAGCGTTGTTCATTAGTCACACACTAGCTATAGAGTGGATGCATGAAGCCCCATGACCCCAGTAAACTTCTCTTACCGGTAGAAAAGCCAAACACCACCATTCTGTCATTCGCAATCCTCTTAAATGTTGCCTCTCCATATCCTGTTGCATTTTAGTGTGTATTGTGTTTCTACTGATCTCTCTGAGGTTTTTTCTGAATCAAAGGAAACTAATTTTTCCTTCATAGCAAGAAAGATGAAGAGGTAAAGGGCATTGAAGCAGAAATGTGTAGTTTGGGGTATAATTAGAAAACTTGTAAGGAAAACAAAAGTCCTAATTAATTTCAACCTGACTGCTCTTAGTTAAGTGCTCTTAAGGAGAGTCTAGTAAGAGTAATACTTTCTGGCCATTTCTGGTTTAGATTCTCTTAGTTCTGAAACTTATGAGAAATATTACCTGTGGATTAGTTTTGCACAATGTTCTATTCTCACAATGATTTACAAATTAAACTAGGTTTTTATTGAACTACCTCACACTAATTTTCTATGCTTTCCCAAGTAAGCTGTTGCCCTTACTGTTAGATCTTTACTAAGTGTGAATTATAAATGTGTATTAAATACTTTTTAGCCAATGTTGACACAATACCAGTAAGTATGTAAAATATATACCTTACATCAGTAAGAGACACGTGTAAAATTTTTCATTGTATATCTTGGAAAATTGTGTTAGATGTGCTCGTTGACATTATTAGTGTCTGTCTTTGTAAGTAGAAACCTGCTCGTGATATCAGTCTATTCTTTACATTTTACAAAAGAAGTAAATCTTAGTAAATTTTGTGAAGAAATAAATTACTTTTGTAGGCCCAATATTTGGTATATTTTTGAGAAGCTGTTAATCTTTTAGCCGAATGATGAAGTTAGACTGAAGTAGCTGTCTCCCTGGACTGTGACATCTATTTTCTCATTACAGTTTATTCTGGTCAACAGGGTGTCACACCTGGAAATCTGAGTATGATAATTGACATTTGCTTTTCTCTCTCTATGATGTCATTCCTTCTTCATTCCTCTCCTTCCCCATGTTCCGTTCCCTCTCCTCTCCTCTCCTCTCTCTAGACAAAACAAAATGGGGCACTTTGTAGGGAATGCTGAGATCATTATTGTGGTTTTTCATCATTCATGCCCTAGTCATTAAACATGCACCACTGGAATGTAAACAATGTTATCTAGTATGTCAATTGGTTATAATATTTTAAATAAAAAAGAAAAAAGTGTTATGAAAATTATGAAATTAAGAGCTTTTTCATTGAAAACAAAATATACATTTATGGTAAGAAGTTTTTCTTGGCAGTTTTAGGATTTCCTGTGGTTGGGGTAAAATGGGAGATCACTAGAGCAGGTTTCTTAGATTTGGAATTTATACAGATTGCAAAGAGCCTAAACTATCACCTTGGTTGTCTGATGCTCTAGTCTTGCTTTTCTGGTGTTTGAAATTGCTGGAGAAACTTTATCTTTAAAAGGAACTTTGCTTCAATGCCCTTAACCTAGTTCTTGGTAGAGCAGCCATCGTGACCACTTGGAAAAAATAAGTATTTAAAACTTGGGCTTGTTTCAAAATAAGCAGGGATCTCAGCTTGCACGTGTTGCCAGCTTTTACCCTGCATCTTTCCTCTTTGCCTACACAGGGTGGACTGCTGTTTGGGTCCCTCACTGCTCCCATCCTGGTCTCTATGATGGCACTCTCCATCTTGCTTGACTCTTGCTCCAGTTGGCCCTTGTGTGCGCACCGGCTGTTGCCCTTACCTGCCGACTGATGCTTGGTCAGCCCATGCATTTGCTGACATGTTTCATCATGGTCATGAGAGAGGCCTCCCATTGGGTGTCAAAAGCAGATGTCACATTATTGAGTTTAAGTTTGTTTTTATGTTAATAATTTTTTTTCATTTATACCCAGTCATCATATAAAGTGAAATAGTTCATTCTTGTTAATTTAGGTACTGCACTTTTTTAGTGTTTTTTTGTTGGTTTGTTTTGAGAAAGCAGAAATTATTGAGAGGACAGAAAAAGCTCCCACACTGGAAGGGGACCCCAGGGGGTTGACCTAGTATCATTTCTTAAAAGGTACATTAAATTTATGTAAATGAAGATTGATTTGTACTGATTTTGTTATTAATTTTTAGAAAAACTGTTACAGGTTGGACTTCGTTTGAAGCTAAGATACTTCAAATATGCTTTGTAAATGTTAGGTTTCTGTCTGACGTGTATTTCTCAATTAATGAAAACATATATATCTAACCTATGCTGGGAGCTGGGAATGAGGAGAGATGCAAAATGCAAAAATGGGTGCGACAGTCTAGTCTGCCTGATTGAAATTGTATATGTAGAGGAACAAGGAATGTGCCGAAGGGACACCGGCTGAGGGATGGATTAGAGAAAATGAGAAGAGTTTCACAAAGAAGGCATGCTTTGAGCCTTGGCATAAAGAAGGTTTGGAGAGGAGAGGTATTTCAGGCTAAAGGGAAAGCAAGCAGATTTAAAAATAAGTGCAAGCCGGGTTCAGTGGCTCAGCCTGTAATCCCGCGCTTTGGGAGGCTGAGGTGAGTGGATTGCCTGAGCCCGCGAGTTCGAGACCCGCCTGGGCAACTTGACGAGACCTCATCTCTACAATAAATAAAAAAAAAATTAGCCAGGTGTGGTCGTGCGCACCTGTAGTTCCAGCTACTTGGAAGGCTGAGGCAGAAGGATCGCCGGAGCCCAGCAAGTCGAGGCTGCAGTGGCCGCTCCATTCTGGGTGACAGAGTGAGACTCCAACTCAATAAATAAATAAAAAGTGCATGGGCGTGCATATGTGAAAAAATAATAAAAGATGAAATTGGCAAGTTGCAGTTCAGAATTGAAACACTGAAACAAGCTAAGTACATAGCCTGAAAACATCTAGGAATAATTTTATAGGCAGTAGGAACCCGTTGTAGTTTGTGAGGAGGAGTTATGTGACCAGGCTTCTGTTTTAGGATGGTCACTGACGAAGCAAGTCCAGTTAGCCTGGAGATTGGCCATTAGAAGTCAGAGATCCCCAGTTGAGAGAGCAGTGGGAATGGAAAAGAGGGATTTTAGACGTCGTTCTGTGACATAGGTGAAATCACCAAGATAAGCACTCGGAGCTGTGGGACAGCTTTGTGCCCTACAATTGGTCAGTACACAAGAGATGTGCAGGGAAAATAACATCCAATGTATTTTGCAACTTGCACTTCTCGAGATAATGCATGTCAGGTGTAGTATTAACTCGCCATTTAGTGTACCGGGGTGGGAGGAAGGGAACAATTGGTTTGCTGTCCTCCCTGCTGATATAGACCTCCCTCATCTTGTAGTTTCTTTCCTTGTGATGTCTACCTCATCTGCTTGTATAGTCTTTGCCCCGTTTTCCTTAGTTCGTCTTGTAGACAAAGGAAGAAAATTGGGAAAGATTTTTGTTGGTTTTCACATGTGAGACGTACCTGGACAAGTGGGGCATAGCTCTGATTGCCAAAGAGTAAGTGGCAAAACAGGTACTTTAGAAAACTTGGCAGGAAATGTAAATAAAAGGACAGTGGCTTGAGAAAAGAGAGAGGTAGACTGAGAGATCAGAAGGAGTTCAAAGAGATAAACCACAGGCACATGTGCCTTTATGAAACAAGTTCCTGGGGAGGCTGGATCTACTGTGTCTTGTGGGTACAGGTGAGCTTAGGTCAACGTGGAGAGTTTAGGTTACCTCAGACAAATCTCAACCTGGCTGAGCCATGCCCTGCTTCTTCAGCTGTCTCATTAGAGAGCTACTTTCTCAGGTTGCTGTGCTGATATGAGAGAATGTGCTTTTGTGAAAATCATCAGAATAAAGCCAATGTAATGGATGATTTTAGTCTTAGACATGGAAATGGTTTAAGATATGGAAAAATTAAAAGGCCGGGCACAGTGGCTCACACCATTAATCCCAGCACTTTGGGAGGTGAAGGTGAGAGGTTTATCTGAGCCCAGGGATTTGAGACCAGCCTGGGCAACTTGGTAAGACCTTTTCTCTGCAGTAAATCAAAAAATGAACTAGGTGTGGTGGCGCACTCCTGTGGCTCCAGCTGCTTGAAAAGCTGAGATGGAAAGATTACCTGAGCCCAGCAGGTCAAGGCTACAGTGGCTCTGATCGTGCCACTGCACTGTAGCCTGGGCAACAGAGTGAGACTCTGACTCAGGAAAAAAAAAAAAAAAGCCTTTTGTGTGGTCACTTCTGAGAACTGCGGTACACTCTGACCCCTGAGTCATCCTCTCCATCCCCAATAGTCCCAAATTTCTTGTGGTAAGAATAATTCCTCATTTGAGAGTAATGCCTCACAGTATTGAGCTGTTCAGGGTTAGAACCATCGAACATACTGTTTTGGTTCTATTTCACATGTCATTCCCACTCTGCCCTGCCCATTCCAGCTGAACTTCCTTCATGCACCTGCTTCTCTTGTTTACTCCCATTTTTGCCTGTTGTAAATCCTCATTGCTTGAGACCTGGCTCAAACCATTTCTCCTCTGATAAAGCTCAGACCTCTTTTTCTTTTCCCATGCCCATTGCATACATGCTCACTTTAGTCATTATTCACCTGCTCCACACTCTTCACAGAGGACTTAAAACAGCAGCGTGTCATGTGCCTCCTGCTGTTATTTGATGGCATCATGTTTGTGTATTTTCTCTGATGCCTCACTATGGAATCACCTGGGTGGATGAGCCTGTCCTACTTATAGTGAACAGGGCCTGACTAAGCATTCTGGCCATGTTGGGCTGAGTCAGCTAACGACTAGGGCCTGTCTTCTACACTGCTTCTATCCTCTGAAAGTGCAGTATTTGTGGCCCTCAAAGTGTGGCATAAGGAAACTGCGCGCAACACCATGAAATCATTGTAGTGATGTGAACATGGGCTCTAGTGCCAGATTCCACCACAGTGGAATCCTGGCCTCACACTGGGTGCCTCACTTCTGGCAAGTTATCTGAACTGTAGCTCTGCTTTCTCATCATAAATGGGAAGCCTGATATACCTCACAGGGTTGTTGGGAGGATTCTGCGTAGATAGAGCGAGATCTGGTGAGTGCTCAGTAAGTGTTGGCAGCTGTCATCTTAACTTGCTCCGCACTCTGGCTCCAGCGGCTCCTAAAATCCAGAAGCTGTCCTTCACTCTCATGACTCTGAATGACAGATATGTCTTTAGGCAAACAGACCCAGAAGACTTTGATAAGAGCCATACGCTTTTTTTCTCCCCCTTGATTTGATGCTGTGGAAGGGAAAGAGTTAGTCTAGAACCTGGACCCCCCACCACCCACAATGAGCAGTAGAGCCCAATGGCCCACGTGTCCCTAAGACTCCCCATCCTCATGGCCACCCTTAGGCCCAGTCCCGGGAATTGTTAAATTGTTGAAGTGTGCTCTACTCGCCAGTCCCATGTGGCTGGGGCCTTGCCCCTCGTCTCCCTTTACCACAGTGAACACTTAACCAAATCTAACTGAAAGAAAGGAGGAAACAGAAAAACGCATATCCGCCAGGGCACTTAAGCTGCTGCTGTTGTGTTCATTCCCAGATTGGTGAGCTCTTTAACCAGTGGTGGGGCCAGTGTGGGTAGTTGGTATTTATGATTCAGTAGATTTGAAAGTCTGGGCAGTGATTTCTCAAACCTGGCTCCGAAATGAGACTCCAGGGTTGTTTGTAGACCCTGATGCCAGACAGCACCACAGATGTAACTGTCCTGGAGAGGGGTTTTCAAGCCAGCTTGTCACACGCTGTGGGGCAGCATCTGCATCAGAGCAGGCTGCCCCTGGGTCTTTGTTTGGGGACTGCTGGGCTTTCAGGATGTTCCTGGGAATAAAGGGTCTCGCTTAAATGTGGGGGATGCTACTTAAGGTAAGCATGTTTGGCATTTGGGGGAACTTCTCAAAAACAAGAATGCATTCCTATAAACCTACCTGCAGTCATCTCCCTGCCCTCTGGCTTCCCGTCTTCTCTCAAAAGCCACTGTTCCATTCTTTTACCTTTTTGCTGACATCGTTACCATCTCCCTTTCTAATGGGTCATTCTTGTCAGAGTACAGACCTGTTCTCTAAGAAGCTCTTCCTTGCTTGCTTCCACTGTCCCTCCCTCTTTTTCTGCTCCACTGGCATCAGGACTTCTGGAAAGATCTGTGCACATGCTTTCGCTTTCCTATCTCTCATTGTCTTCAGCCGGTTCCTATCTAGTTTCCAGTGCCATTCCACTCACATTTGGCCAGGACCACAGCAATAGCTCCCTGACTAGTTTCCCTACATCCACTTTTGCCACCTAAATCTACACACTCTCCACCCAGTGACTAAAGAAGCCACAATGCAATTCACATCAGTTGATTTAAAGCTCTCAAATGCTTTCCCACTTTCCTTAGAATAAGAATAACTTCTTACCATGGGCAACGGGCCCCAGGGTATCTGGCCCCTGCTCTACATGACCAGCTAGTCTACACCCATCCCAAGCTCTTTTTTCTCAAATGCATCAACACTCATACATATTTCTACAGCTCTTCTGCAGTGAGCAAATCCTGTCCTAAAGCATAAACATTCAGCATATCCCACCACCATGACGGAACCCCTGCCCGTCTTCAGCCTTCCATTTCTCCAATATTTCTCTCTTCGCCCCGCCGCCACTCTAGCTACACACACCAGCACATATTCTTTCTATTGTTTACCCCCTCCCTTTGGCTGAAATGATTTCTATTTTATTATAAAACTGAGTTCAGGTGTTAGATCCATCAAAGAGTCTTCCCTGGCCTCTTGTCCTCCATCTGATTTCAAGGTTTCTGTTACCATTTCACATCCTGTAAAGCCTCCATCAGAGCATGATTAATGCTGTAATATTAAGGCAGTGCCTTTGCAATATGGACTAGTGGTTAAGAATTCAGGCCCCAAGCCGGGCACCATGGCTCAAGCCTCTAATCCCAGCACTTTGGGAGGTGGAGGCAAGAGGATTGCCTGAGTCCAGGGGTTTTAGACCAGCCTGGGCAACTTGGGGAGACCTTTTTTCTACAATAAATCAAAAAATTAGCCAGGTGTGGTGGTGCACGCCTGTAGTTCCAGCTACTTGGAAGGCTGAGGCAGAAGGATCTCCTGAGCCCGGCAGGTGAAGGCTGCAGTAGCCGTAAGCATGCCACTGCACTCTCTAGCCTGGGTGACAGAGTGAGACTCCAACCACCCCGCCCCTGAAAAAAAGAATGTAGGTTCTGAGCAAGATCACTGACTGGTGTGTGGTTATGGGTCAGGTCCTTTATTTCTCTGAGCTTCCACGTCCTCAGCTGTAAAGTGCAGGCATAATGTCACCTCCCCTGTTAAGGAGTCAGTGACAGGTATATGCAAGGTGCTTAGACCTGTTGGCACAACAGCCGTCCTGTGAGGCTGTCCTCATTTTAAAAATGAGAGAACTGAGGCCCACAGAGTTTAATGTCTCCACAGTCTTATTACAGCAGAAAGAGCCCAAGATCTTTGCTCTATGCCAAAATACTTTCCATAGCTGTATCTATTCCTACTTTTTCACAGACCTCAGTACATTTTGAGACACCTGGGCTCAACTGTCTCAGGGCTTGGTGTGAGGCAGAAGTAGTAACAATGTGCCTGGTAGAAAAGAATGGTGATGCTGGCACAGATGGTGGTTCTTGGTGGATGCAGGAGTGCAGACAAGTGGCAGCAGGGTGGGGCAATGTCATGGCTACTTAGTTGGGAACTCAGGACACCCACAGAACTACTTAGGGTGGAGAAGGCTCAGCAGGGGGCTGGGATCCTGCATCAAAAGGAGAGGGGTAGAGTCCATAAAGCATGTCAATTGTTACTGACTCCATTTATTACCCACAAGGCCAGAGAAACCTGGATATACAGACTCCATTCTGAAACCCTTTTCCTATACAGAATGAATACAATTCACTCCCGGTTCATCATTCAAAATCAATTAAAACAAGAAATCTCCCACTTCTCTTTCCCTCCCACCCCCATCCTTAAAACTATATTTTAACTTTAAAAAACAGTACATTCATTTGTCAATCTCTTAATAGAAGCTAACTCTGTTTTTGTTTTTTGGTATAAGACATTCACAATTTCCAGTTTTTTTCTTTAAAGTCAAACACAAGTTTTAAAACACTTTTGAAGTAATCTAACAGCTGAATCCTAGACTTTTTAAAACCAATTTTCCACTGTTGTATGGTTGATTCATTCATACTTCAACAATTTAACAATTTTTTTAGCGACTTGTCTTTACTGAGTCTTCCTAAATCACTCCATGGAAGGTTTCAAAGAATTCTCTTTCTGTTCATGTTCATAACTCATTGGTTTACTCAATATTAAATGATAGCATTGCAATAACAATTGAAACTGGAATCCACAGGTTTGGGAACAAGTTCAGTAAATGTAACTCAACTGGGGTGCGCTGAAATGGATAGGGTAGGAATACAGGCCAGAGCTCCTAGCACAGGTCAACTGCCAGACGCTCAGTGTGCTTGACAATCAGAAGTCAAAAGTTTTACAGACAAAATGGAAGTGCTGGTTACACAGAGATTGGAGAACAGAGCTTCTGAAATGTGCCAATTCATTTTCCAAGTCTAATTGTATTTGCAGATTTTAGTTTTGCCAGCAGGTGGCAGATGCTCATGAGTCCTACCCAGGACTTAGCAGGAAGCTGAGCCTTTGTCAATATTAGTGGCTGAGACAAGGCAGACAACCTTACTTCCATCATGTGAAACCCCTTTGGTCTTCTCTGCTCCTTGGATAACCTGGTGGCATTTTCTCTCCAGGTCAAGGTCAGCAGAATTCAATAGGATCATAAGAATACACTGGTATTCCCGTCTAATTTCTCCAAGCCTTAGTTTCTCCTCTGAATAGGGAGAGTGTTGCCACTTCCTGTCTCACTTGGTTGTGAGGAATAAAGTCGCCTCATATTTTTTTCTCTCTCCTTGAAGAGAGGGGAGGGCAGTGTCTCACCTTCAGGGAAAGCTCCAGTCAACCAGGTGGCCAGCTTGCCACAGCAGAGGCCTGATAGCAGAGACAGATGTTGCTCTCTACCAGCCCCTCCAGAGACCCTAACACGCCCTGACTGCTGAGACTTTGGAGGCCCTCAGCAGGAGCCAGGCTCCTGAGTGGTAAGGTCCCCAGTTAGGTGCCTAGAGACAGTCAGTGGCCGGCTCAGCACACAGAGTCACTCCACCTGGCTCAGCCCTATGGGCTTGCACTTCATGGTGGGGAACCAACATTACCTGGGAGCACCAAGACCCTGGCACTTAAAGCACTGGCCCTTGTTAACAGGCCAGGTGTTGTCATAGTTTAGACCAGACTCTAGGCAGATGCATGGCTGGGCATGAATGACTTCTACAGAGACAGTGGCCAGAAGCAGGTGCTTGGGTGGCGACCGCTTATCACAAAACCCCTGTGGGTTATACTGCACAGGGGTAGGGTCAGGCCACATGTCAAGACACTGAGGGGAGCATGTGAAAGACAGCTGACATTGCTGTGCCCAGAGGTCAGACCCCTCCACCCAGAGGACTGCCATGCTGCCTCCTAAACCATAGCCCTAGGAGCTCTGGCTGGGCCTGGACTGAGTACAGTGGGGGCGAGGAGGGGAGGCTGGAGGCATCCCGGAGGGATTTGCCCTGATGGAGCCTTGAAGTCAGGATGAAGTGGAGGAGGGTGAACAACAGAGAAGGCAGGGTTAGCACTCGCTCTTGGGAAGTCTGGAACCAGGGCCCCAGTGTGAGGTGTGGGTACCTGGCAGACCGAAAACAGGTGGGTCCCATCACCTTGGCTCAACTCTCCTGCAGACACATGTCGCACTCACCTCACACCTCGGGGTGCAGAGCAGGGGGTTCCCAGCACCCATGCTGATCTCTTGCTCGAACTCTGGCCCTGGAGCAGAGCTGGGACCACAGTGGAAGTCCCAGGGGACCTTCCAAGACAGCACCCAGCAGCAGAGTTCCAGATGGCTGGGAGGGGCAGGAAGGGGTGAGGAAGGGCGTCTCCCCCTGAGGACATAAATGGTGGAGTTGAAAGCGCAAGGCCAGGACCTCCTCAGGGAGCTTCACACCCACTTCTGGATGCCACCTGCCACTCTACCCAAAGGCACACCCCAACCCTTTGAGAAACATTAGAAGCCACCTAGTAAACTCCAATTTCCACGGTCATAAAGAATGAGCCAGGCAACAAGCCATAATGCTTTCTGAGCAAATTTAATAAAGAAAGCAAACTGTTCCTGGTGCTACCCAGATCCTGGGTGCCACCCGTTTTGGTGGCCATAAGGGACTTTTCCTGGGAGAAGGGCTAAGTGTAGCTCTGGGCACTGTCCCTTTCTGACACCCACCAGGCTCCGCATGGCTGGTGCAGCATCTGGATTCCACCTGGGTGTGGGGTCCTGACAGTCCCCACAGGATCAGGATCTCTCCTGCTCCAGAATGTTTGGCCCTGCTGATGGCCCGGGTCCCAGCTGCAGAGGCTTCTGGCTCCACACATGGCTGGAGGACAGCAGATGTGGCACATAAGTCCGCTCTACCATTCCTTTTACTTTGGAGCCCTGGCACCTTTTGTCCCTACAGTCAAGCTTCCCAGGGTTGAAAAAAACTCCTCCATCTCCCTCTGCAACAGCTGGTTCCTCCTCTCGGCATCCTCCCGTGCCCGCTCAGAATTCCGCAGCTTTATCTCCAGCATGGTATACTTCTTCTTTTCCTGGTCCAGTTCTTCTTCTAACCGGGACATTTGTCTTCTCAGGTCAGTACTACCTTCCTCAATTCTTAAAAGTCAAGAAGAGAGACATTGTTTTAGAGCCTGGCTCACTGGGTTCACTCTCAGGCAGATGCAGCCTCTACTTGCGCTCACTGTGGGAGGGAGGGGCTGATCAGGCCAGGTCTACAGAGGGGGAGGAGACCCTGGCTGGGGGTGGGGGCTGGTTAGATCTCATCCGCTCCTCACAAGAACCCCCTCCGCCCTGCCACAGCTCCCCTTGGCCTGTAATCTAGAAATGCCACCATGAGCTCTCTACCTTCAGTACCTCCCTGAGCCCTCGCTAAAATAAAGAACACCTGCCCCTCCAGTGGAGCCACTTGTCCGGCTGGGGGATCACCTGCCAGCTGGCGTGAGCAGCATGGGTCCCTGCATGGGAGGGATGTGACTTAGAGCTGCCCCCTGGCCTTTGTTCTTGTGCTCCAGTCTCCTCTTGCTCCCCGTGGTACCACTGGAGCCTACCATGTATTTCCCTGCTGGTTCACACCTCACTGAGCCAAGATTGGCACGGCTATCTTTTTGACCAGACGACCAGCTTCTGCCCGTCCCAAGAGACATCTGAACTGGGCTTCTGAGAACCCACGCATTGGAGGTTAGGGTCCAGCTTGGTGACATGCAAGCCACATGGATATGGGCAGGACATGGACTGCATGGTACCCACCCCAGCGTCCTCCCCTGAAATGCAAATGGTGACCCCTCCCCAGAGCACCACAGTCACCATGGACAGGAAGACGACGTGCCCAGCACAGTGCCTGGTACACACTGCATGTAGAACAAATAGTGATTCTGTGCCCCACTAGGATGAGGCCTCCATCCTAAGCAATGAGCACAAAGCACGGCAAATGGAGAAGACCTCCCTCAGCCCCAGCCCTCTCAGCTGGAGCACAGCCAAGTCGTCAGAGAGACGGCCGCCTGCTCCTCCTCATGCCTTGCTGCCTGGACCTCCCCCCTTCCTTCTCTGCAGGCCCCACCTAAGTACTGACAACTCTCAGTCTATTTCACAAGCATCTCCCCAACTGAACAGGTCCAGAACTGAGCTCCTGAACCTCCTCCACAGCCCACTCTCCCACAGCCCTGGAACTCCCCTCAGTAAAGGCCTTCCTCTAGCTGCTCGGTCCAGTGACAATGTCCTCCCCTAAGCTAGTTCTTTTTCTCATCCGCACATCCAACTAGTCAGCAGAGCCCTTCAACTCTACCTTCAAAATATGTTCAGCATCCAGTTGCTTCTCCCCACCTGGACATGCTGCTCCACAGGTCGGGCCTGGGACCCTAGCCTCCTAACTGGCCTGTTCTACCCTTGACCTCTGACAAGCTCTTCTTAGCATGGCAGCCAGGTAGGTGCACCTGTCAAGGTGCCTGGGGTGCTCAAGACCCTCTACGGGCTCCTCATCTATCTCATTCTCAAAAGACCAGAGCATTTCCCAAGCCCAAAGGCCCCACCCCCTGCCCTTTCCTGCTCTGCACATCTTCTGTCCCCAGCCCTTCCCTCTCCTATACTGCCTTGGCCCCTGAGCTGAGTGCTGGCTTGCAGCTCTGAGGTCCTCCCTCCACCAGGAGTCTGCCTTCCCACATGTTCCCCCGCTGCGTCCCTTCCCTCAGTGGTGTTGTATTGTTTTCCTCTTGCATGTACCTTCTAACACACCACACATTTTATTTTATTGATTTTTTGAGTCGGGGTCTTGCTTTGTTGCCCAGGCTGAAGTGCAGTGGCATGATCACGGATCACTACAGCCTCAAACTCCTCACACCATACATTTTAAAAAATATCATGCTTATGGTCTCTGTTCCCTGCCCCTTTTAATAAGAATACAGGCAGAGATTTTGGTCAGTTTCGGTCACATCTGTGTTCCCAGCAACCAGCCTAGTGTCTGGTACTTCATAGACAACAGATTCTCTTTTGGGAATGCATGAAGGAAATCTGACTCCCAAGCAGAACACTGGGAGGGGGTCCGAGTCTGGGGAGGCAGGGAAGAAAGTCAGTTCCAACCCTTCCCACCACCCAATGACTCCATATGTGCAGAGAATGGGGTGCATATTCCCCCCAGAGATTTGCTGGATGGGACAGTGCTAATCTCTTCACCTTCCTCCCTGTGCTCAGAGACCCTCTTCATTCTAGACCCTACCTCCAACCAGGATGACAGCCCAGCCCAGACCACACTGCAAGTGAGAACAGCCCCTCTCTATGGGCTACAGCTGCTGCCCCCTTTCTCCTGGGAAGCCCATCTTACTCCCGGCCCTCTGAGCAGGAGTTAATGCAAACGACAGAGGTTCCTGAATGCTGTCACCCACCATGAGAAGCACTTATCATTCAGGACAAAACGGGTAAGGTCACCCAGACCCAGTGAGTCTGCTGTGGACACTCAGCCAATACCAATGGGGCTGGGACTGGAATCCAGGCAGTCTCACCCACAGCCCAGCCCAAACGATCCTGCATCTCCCAAGACACCATGCTTCTGAAGAGGTGATAGAAGCTCCAGGAGGCTTCACACAAAAGGAGTGAGAAGCTGGTCGTCCTACCTCCTCTAGGGCTGTCTTTGGGCAAAGCTCTGGAGAGGAAGACTTCCCATGTGCCCTATAGTGCTCATCTTCAGCAGTTCTCACCCTGCACTGTCTCTCTAGAGGCACCTGGCTCTTATTCAAGCTGCGTCCTCTCCCCAGAGCACAGCTCCATCCTACTGGTCCTTCAAGTCCTGGCTCAGGCAGTGCCTGCTGTGATTTCCCCCATAGAAGACCCTGCCTTCAAAGTCCCTCTCCCATCTCTTACCACTACACACAAGGCACCTGCACACACCTGGCACTCACCGGTGCCCAGGAGATGGCTGTTGGCAAGCAAAAGGGTCAAGGGCTGCCATTCCAGCTCCCTGTGGAAATCCCAGATTCAGAGTGGGCCGCAGGAATGCCTTCCACCCCTACTGCCTCTGATGCAAAAAGGGAGCCCTCGGAACGCACAGAAGCCCCAGCTAGAGTGTGGGACCTGGGTGCACAAGTCAGCTGGCTGGCAGGGTGGCGGACACAGGCAAGAGGAGCCTAAGATGCTGACAGAACCCCTCAGCACTACTGGAAGAACTCAGCCTTTAGAAGCTTGAGGTTCCTCATTGCAAAAAAGAAAACGTCCTCACAAGGACCCAACTGCGAGTGAGCCAGCAAGCCTCAGGCTGCAGCACAACCCTCCGCCTGCAACCTGGGCAGGCAGGAGGACTCTGCTCAGTGAAATTGGATTCCCATCCCATCCCAGAAGAAGTCCTTACTCCCCTGGGGCCTGGGTGCTGGGGAGCACTTCCCCAAACGCAACACCCTGGCTACAGGACCCTGTGCTGGTACAGATCTGGGCCTGCCTCCGGGGGCCCCCTTTCCCTGATTGAGGACTGTATACCACCTCCACTCCTCCTGCCAAGGCCCTAGCCGCTAGGCTGGCAGTCTCACTCCCTGTGCCTTCAGCAGGTCTCTGTGGAGCTGACTGGGCAGCAGGCCTGCAGGCATGGAGCTGCCCCAGAGAAAGCACCCCCTGACTACCCCCCCAGCTATTCTCCTGAGAGGCAGCTGGGGTGGCTGCTCCAGCCCTGTCCCTTGAGGCCAGCAGCAGGGAGGTGAGAGGCCGCCGCCCATGGTGCCCGGGAGCCCAGCGCCCCTGCAGGCTCCCCAGCGGCGGCGCGTTACCTTTGTACACTCGTCTGGTGCTGGGTCCTCTGGTTACCTTTTTATACTGGCTTCGTACTCAGTCCTCTGGCGGCACAGCTCCGCCCTGAGCTCGGCCACCAGGCCCTGGAGGGCCTCCGAGCGGCGCGCCCCCTCGCGTCCGGGGCTGCCCAGCTCGCTGGGCTCGCTGCTGCTGATGACCGCCTCGTCCAAGGTGTGGCCGAGGTCAGGGGACCTGCGGTCGTCGCTGCTGCTGGGTAACGGGGATGGCTCCAGGGCCCAGTCGGCGTGCAGGGAGCTGCGGGTGGAGGAGTCGCTGGCGCGGCAGGCGGTGCAGCTGCTGAGCGAGGCCCCCACCGACACCTCTCCTGACGAGGCCCCCGACCACGCCGTGCTGGCTGCACTGGGGGTGCTGGGCGCAGGGCCAGGTGGGGGCACGTTGTCGTAGGTGGAGAGTCTCTGCGCAGAGCCCGAGTCCTTGAGCCGGTCGCCGGACGAGGCCCGCCGGTGGCCGCGCAGGGAGGATAGCCCGTTCATGAGCCAGTTCCCTCCGGAGATGATGGGTACCTCCAGGGATGAGCCGCCCCCCTTGGGGCTCCCCGAGCGAGACCCCGGCTGCCGGAAGGAAGACTTCCAGTGGGGCAGGGTCTGCCCCTTCTTCCCGGGGCTGGTGGCAGCAGGGCTGGTGGCAGCGGTGGGGCTGCACCTGCCCCCCAGCCCCGCGGGTGAGGGTCTGGAAAGCACAGCCACAGCGGCCCCGTCCAGGGACGAGGTCCTGTGTGCCAGCAGGCCAGGGCTGCCGGGGTCTCCCTGGCTGTTCCGAGGGAGCTCTTCGGAGCCCCATCCCACCGTGCACTTCGGGCCCCCTCGCGGGGAGGCAGGTGCTTCTGGGGCCATGGCAGTGAAGAGTTGGCTGTGTTTGCGGATGAGGACGGTCATCAGGTGCTGCACTAGGGAAGTGCCTGCCAGGGAGAGAAGAAGAGGGCCCTGCTGAGTGGCCCTGCCCCAGCGTCTGAATACCAGTCACAGGAGAGTGGGCTTCAAGCAGGCTGCCTGGCCCTGTATGCAGATCCAGGCTGCCTCTCAAAGATTGCCTTCACCCACTTACAGAGGAAAAGCCCACCATACACCCTCCAACCCTAGGCCCACACACAAGGACAGTGTTCAAGAATACCCTTCCTCAGACACAGAGCTTCAGACAGCGAGGAAACATTGTGCCTCCCCACCCATGCCATCCAGCTGGAGGTGGGTCAGGAAGCAGGCACCATGCCATCAAGGCTTTGGGATGGACAGGTGGAAGGTTGGACCTGGAAACCAGGACCTGGGACATCAGAGCTCTGTCAGCTGCTCTACGTCACCTCCCTGTGCTGCCAACAATGGTTATGCCTGAATGTCTGCTCTGGGGAGCACAGGGCTCTGGGACAGGGAACAGAGCTCTTTCCTGTGTGTGGGCACACACAATGCACACCTCTCCCCCCACACCATCCCACACATGCATACACTATCACACACACAATCCCTGTTCTCTAGGCCATGCCCCTGAGATGCAGCCCTGCAGTCTTAGGGATTCAGTTCCTGTGGTGGTGGAGTGTGGGTCAGTAGCAAAAGCTGGCAGTGTAGGAAGGACCATGACATCTTTCCAGCGGTCTCCTTCCCTCCTGTTACCCTCCACCAAGCAAAGACCAGACATGGGGGAGGTCTGCCAGGTGATACGGAAGATTGAGTGCTTGGGTGGATGCTCCCACTAAGGTAATTAGGAATCCTGGAAAAAAAATCATCAAGTAAGGAATTCTGTGGCCAGCAAGCTAGTTGAAGCAGGAGAAGGAGAGGGAACTCCTTGAAGCAGGAACTCAGTGAAGGGGGCAGGGCAACCAGGCAGGTAGGAGCTTGAGTTTTCTTGGCTCATGGGGCCCTGGGGTGGACCCTGCCCGGGCAAGCCAAGTGAAGACCTGAGCAAATGCAAGCCCACTTGAGGACTACACCCTCATCATAGGGGACCAGAACAGCCTCAGCCATGGCTTCCCGTCTATGAGCAGCAAGATCTCACACCAACTCCACCCAGGACAGGCTTTAAATTCTATGCCAGCCTGCACCTGTGCCCTATGCTAAGCCTGGCTGACTGGCCTCTGGTGAGTTCCCATGACTCTCCTGGCCTCAGTTTCCTCATCTGTAAAATGGGGACAATTACCACAGTACCAGCTGGTTGTGAAGCCTGAATTAGGTAATGTAAATAAAGCATTTAGAAGCATATTGAAAGCAGCTGCTGTTGCTGCTAATTTTTTCAAATCATTTTATTATTTATCGTAGAGGAGAAATTCCCTGGTGTTTGCAAAATTCTGACATTCAGGAACCTATGAGTTATTTAGTCATAAAAGGAAAGCAAAAACACCTGTGTGTGTTCAAGGACAAGGATGCTGACCTCTCCCATCTCCCCAACCTTGCCCATTCACAGTAACCACTGGCCACCCTAATTGCACCCAATGATCTGCGGCTGCCAGGGCCAAGTTCCTTTTCCATTTATAGCTGGACCCATGGAGTGGGGAAGGTGAAGTCTAGAGGGGCTTCTGCCAAGTCCCCAGCGATGAAGATGTGCCATCTGAGCCACCCCTCCCACTGACCTGGCCCTGGGCTGTGATGGTTTGAGGACTCGCCCGGGACCAGGATGAGTACAGACACCCAGGGCCACCAAGCACACCTCCCCCATTACCTTCCATGATGGTCACTGGGTCCTCTATTTGTGGCCGTAGTATGTTAGGTCCAAAAACAGTTGCCAGGTTCTGGACACTCATTTTGTTGACGTTTGAGTGGGACTGAACTTCATCCAGAAACCTGCAAAGTAAGGAAGATGCAGTTGGTAATGCAGACTTTAATGTCCAATCTTCTGGGAGTTGCCTGGCTCCATACCTTACTGCCCAGGGTCTCCAGCTTCTGGGCACAGTCTGCCCCTGCCGGGCTCGGATGAGGGCAGAGCTACCCCTGGGGTCCAAGGGGCCATCTCTGATGTCCCAGCAAAGGTCACTGGGACAAGAGCCTATCATTGTTTGCATAGAAGGAGGACATTCAACTCTTCAGACTAGAGTGGGGGCAGATGCCCTGGAAGACCCAGACCCCCAGGTAGGGGACTGGATGACAGCCACCCCTACATAACCCCTCCTGGTGAAGGGCTGTGGTCAAGGGACAGACGTGGGGGGACAGGATGGTGAGAGGTGCCCAAGAGGGACAAAGGGTAGGTCTCTTCTACAATGATCCACTGGGAACTGTTTAAAACTACCTATATCCTTGGGACTGTAAAGTTCTGTGAGCTCAGGGTCTGTGCTCTTTATTCCCTGCTGCATGGACACTTGGTGAGGCTGTGCAGGGTGGGGAAAGACACAGGCTCTCTTAGTAAAGGGAGAGCTGTGTGTTTGGGGTGGGGTGGAGTGCAGGAAAAAGTAGTTCCCCTCATTCCCAGTGCCACTTACTTGCAGATATATCTGAGCAGATTGTAATTGGCCTGAGGAAGATTGCTCACTTGTTTAGCCAATTCCAGAGTCCCCTAGGGAACGAAGGAGGAAAAACAGAATTTCAAAAACCAGCATTGAGGCCCCAGGGCCCTCCTCTGACTGAGCAAAGGAGTGGATGAGGAGAAAAGGAGGTGGAGGCCACAGCAGCCCAGACCCAGCTGACCAGGGGCTCCACCACCCCCATCTCCCTCCAAGGAGTGACCCAGACTGCAACCCCCTGGGAAGCTGAGTTGCTTCCAAGGAGCTGGTGTGAACAGCAAGCCTTTGCGGGGCCTCAGAGGAATGTCAGGGCCAGTGCTCACTCACTTATCGGGGCACAAATATTTGCCAGATAACGACACCCTCATCTCCCACACAGGCACAGGGAAGACAAACAGTCCTGCCCTAGCCCTCAGCCACCTGGGGCTGCAGACCAGCACCTGCAGGGGAGTGGGGGGAGGGCTGGACCCTCTGTCCTGGAAGTTGGCTCAAATTATTTTGGGAAGCAAACAGGACATAAATAGATAAAGGGTCTCCTTGTTTCTGAGTCAATGGCAGGCCCAGACATGGGGAATGGCAGCAGAGTATGAGCATTTATGGGGTGGCAGCCAGGGATGGACACCCAGGACCTGCCCTCCCAGACATCAAGGCCTGCACACAGGGAGGGCCCCACACACAGAGCAGATGCTCTAACTCCCCACCCCCAGAGCAGGATGTTCCAGGATATCCCCCTGAGCAGGATGCTCCAGACTCCTACACCCACATAGCAGGATGCTTTAGGTACCTGCTGACACAGAGAGCAGGATGCTCCAGACATCCCCCCCAACACACACACACACAGAGCAGGATGCTCCAGGACCTCTCCCCCAAAGCAGGATGCTCAGGCCATCCCTCTATACAGAGCAGGATACTCCAAAACCCTCTACCACACACACAGAGCAGGATAGTCCAGCCCCCTCCCCCCAACAGAATAGGATGCTTCAGGCCTCCCCAACCTCCACCTTCCCCCACACACAGAGCAGGATACTCCAGCCCATGCCCCTCCCACCACCACACACATACAGCAGGATGCTCCAGCCCAGGTCCCCCACCCTGCCCCAACGCATGTACAGAGCAGGATGCTCCAGCTCCCCTCCCCCACCATACACAGAGCAGGATGCTCCCGTCCATGTCCCACCCGCCCCACCCTACCACAAACACACATTCAGCAGGTTTCTAGCCAGGATCCATGTGCTATGAAAATTCACAAAAAGCCAAGAGTTTGTGTCTTGACTACACGCTGACGCCCAGCAAGCCCACCTCCCAGAAAGGGTCCCCAGGAGTCACTGACCTCCCCCTCGTCCTTGGTGAGCAGCTGGGCGCAGCTGAGGAAGTCCTCATACCTGGCGAAGGGGACCACGGGCTCAGGGAGCTCCCGAAGGTAGAGCTTCAGCAGAGAGGCCACCGTGTGCACATCTGTTGTGCTGAGGGTGAAAGAAGGGACACGTGTAAGGCCTGGAAACCACAAGAGTGACTGGCATCTTCCCCCACAAAGCAGCCTCTGGTCTCAGTCTGTGTGTGTGCACATGGGAGGCTGCATCTGTGGCCAGCTGCCCTTGGTCAAGTAAAGGCCCTGGCTGCTCCTGAGAGCAACAAACAGGGCTTGGAGGGGAGTGACTGAGAGCTCAGGGACTGTCCATCATACCCAGGCACTTGCTCAGAGCCCCCAAGTCCGTGTCTGTCAGTCTGTCCAGGACTGCGCCTCTCTTGCCTAGACTGTGCGCAACTCAAGGGGCTTCAAGAGCCACAGGGCTTGCAGGGCACAGATGCTCCACCACAGTGGCTGCTCTGGGCTGAGGAAATCATGCATAACCTGGGTCAGCTCACACAGGAGAGGGCCTTGTGACAGCAGGCCAGGGGGCACCTCCACAGGTCTGGTGGCCATCCCAAGGTCCCCTGCAGGACTCTGTGGGCTCTGCCTGCTCCCTGGGGTGGGAGCAACTGTCCTATGGGCCCTCCCTGGGTGCTGCCAAGTCCCAGCCTGAGCTTACCCACCCTGCTGGGCTCGTCCTTGGCTGAAAGGGGAGGAGCTGTGTCAAAACCATCCATCAGGCAAGGCTGCTGGCTCCTTGTCAGAGACCAGGCATCCTGGGAGCTGGCCACCAGAGGCAGGTAAGAGGTCAGGTCCTTTCCCCCAGTCTCTGGGTTCTGTCCACACTCCTGGCTTGAATTGCCCAGGCTAGAGTGGGCCACCCGTGGATGGTGGTGGCCCTGAGCCGGGGCACACTCCCTTCCTGGGTGCTGTTTGTGCTGTACAGTTTAGTTCCTGTTCTAGAGTCTTTTGCATCTCCAAGTTTGCATTCCAAGCCACATCCAGGCCCCAGGTAGTTCATCTGCTTGTCTAGGGCCCTGAATTTAAACCCTGGACCTGCATTTACCTCAGGGGAGGCACTGGGGAAAGATAAGCCTGGGGCCAGTAGACCCTGGCTGTGTCATGAAGGTTTGACCTGGTCCTGTCTGGGAGCTCATGCTGGTCTCACTGAGATAAGCCCTGGGTCCCTTCTGGTCTTGACACTTGGGATTCTGGGGTTCCATATGTCCATACGCACCCCAAATTCATACATTCACGGCCTCTCCCTGCCCCAGGCCTGTGAGCGCTTGGTCTAGCCAGGGTCAAATAGCCCCCGCCCTCTCCACCTTCCCTCTCCAGTCCGGCCTGCTGCTGCCTATGCCCTCCACTGCCCTCTCCCAAGCCACCTTTCTCTGCTGACTCCCTGGTGTGCTCATGGCCCCAGCAGAAGCCCAAACTTGAGACCAGCAGCTCCTTCCCCACTGGGGCCCCTGTGGGCTCAGAGGCAGCCTCTACCTGAGCGAGAGTTGCCCTTCTGCCAGAGTGAGAAACGGGAGAGAGATAGGAGGCAGGTCATCAAGCGTGCCCTGCAGAAAGACAGGATGGTGAAAGCAAAGATTGTGTATGGAGCCAGCCAGACATCTCCTTTTCTCCTGCTGTGTTGGTGAGGTGGGATAGGAGCACTTCTGCCTGGGCAAGTGGACACAGGGTGGCCCTATCACTCTGCAGACCTCCAGGGCGACATGCCTGTCCCATAGGGTGACTGCTCAGCCCTACCCAGTCACCTTGGCCCTGCAGCACCTTGATATTCTTTCTTTCCTCCCCCACTCACTGCAGAGTGTCATTTCTTTAAGAACTAGGGCAAGGATTTTCTTGGTACTCTTCCCTGAGTTTCCCTTACCCGTTCCCCTCCTATCCCCGTCATGAATCTAGTCCCCAGTCCCCACTACCCACCACCCAGGAGAACTCTTCACAGTCCAGGGCCTATGGATGCCCCACCAGCCTGTGGGCCTCACAGCATGGGTGAATGCTGAGGTGGAGGGGGCCGGGATAGGGGCGGAAAGGGCAGCAACAGCCAGCGGACATGGTGCCTGCCCTAGGGTCAAATCCACTGTCATCACTCTCTTGGTGCAACCTGCAATGAGGAAGACCAGTCAAGAGATTCCATCTCTGCATTCCCAAGGATCCCCTCCAGCCCACACTAACACCTATGTGTCCATCCAGAGTAAGGCCATGGCCTCCTGCTGTCCCTATTCATCTCAGTCCCCTAGAATCCATTCTTCACTCAGCAGCCTGGCTTCTGGGAGTCTCCCATCACCCAGCCCCACCTCCCCTGCCACCTGCTTCACTGGCTTCTCAGAGCCGAGAAAACGCCCCACTCTGGGCCTTCTGAAGAGCCTGGGTCTTCACAGAGTTCCCACCTGAGCATGCCCCCATCTCCACCCCTGCAACCTGCAGCTCCTATTAGGTTCCTCAGCCAGTGTTTACTTGTTATCTGTTGCAGACTCCTTCAAATTTCCACTGCATGGTACCACCCTACTCACATTCCTCCTAAAGGGCTCCTCCCTCAATGGACAGTAGCTGAGTGAAATTAAAAAAAAGCACTGTTGCCAGGGGTTGATGGAGTCCTGAGGATCTGGTATAGAGGAGACCCTCCTCAATGTTCAGCAACAACACAGACAGCCTAGGAAAGCTGCTACAGCCCAGGGCCCAGGAGACAGTGACATGGGAAGGAACGGGTAGAGGACAGCTTGGGCTGCTGAGGCTTCCAGGCCTGTTGGGGTTCTTTATGGTGGAGGGGCCCAGGACCTGAGGCTGGAGGGGACATTCTTATGTAGATGAACAGGGAGGTGAGGAGGGGTCTTCCTGGTGAAGGGGAGCCAAGGATAGAAGCCAAAACCCTGGAAGGAGGGTAGGATAGAGCATGGCAGAGAGCACCATCTACAGCCTAGGAGAGAGAGTTCCATTCTGGGCTACTCTGTCAGGGGTAGGTGAGAGGCAGGCACGGCTGCAAGGCAGAAGCCCTGCCACGGAAATAGCAGAAAGTGAGAGAGGCCTCAGATGCCCAAGAAGGGGCTTCTAAGGGAGAAGGAACCAAACCTCCAGGCAGCTATGGCAGTGTGGGAGTCACCGCTGAGGAGGCAGGGTTGGGGTACAAGCCTAACAGCCCCACCCTGGAAATGGGCCTCCAGACACAATCCCAGAAGAGGAGTAGAAGCAGTCAGAGAGCGAAGGGGCACCCAGGAGACAGGGAAGGGCTGCCTCACACTGCTAAGAGACCAGGAGTCAGGACTGCAAGCTGGGGGCATGGAATGTTTCCCTGTGGGTATTCAGCTGCCTCTCCAGGGAGCTTCAGGAAGCCCAGGCAGGGAGAGAAGCCAGGTTGAGCACATTGAGAATGCAGGGGAGCCAAGGTGGAGATATGGCAGGGTGGGTGAAGCTCAAATGGCCTGCAGCTGTTCCAGAAAGCCCCAGTGGGGTTTGAATAGGGGAGTGACGGTATCTAATTTGTGTTTGCAGACATCCTTCAGGTAGCATCAGGCATTAGGGCAGTGCATCTGATCCTGGGGAGCTTCTACAAGTCCAGGTTCCCTACCCAGGCGGCATTATTTGAAGCAATCTCCAACCCTAATGCTGCGCCACACAGACACAGGATGAAAAAGATTGACTGGCAGAGGTTCAAAATGGAACACAAGCTCATTGAGAGTCAGCATTGGGATAGAGCTTCACAACGCTCTATCAGCATTGGGATAGAGCTTCTCTTCCAGATGAAGAGACCCCTGTGCCCTCCCTACATAGTTCCTCCTCTGGGGAACTGTGGTCCTTGGCGCCATAGCTAAGGGGGACTTTGCACACTCTCCTGGTTGCAGTGATGAATCTGGGAAGGAGCTGGAGAGACTAAGAATGTTCTGCCCTAAGAGAAGCCTTAGAAAGACCAGGGCCAAGTACTGAATACCAGTGGACCTGTCTTGGGGCAGAGACAGGCCTCCTCTGTGAGGGCAGATTTGAGAAGGGCAGAAGCTCCACAAAGGGTAGGGCTGGCTTAATGCAGAAATAACTTTCTATGAAAAACTGCCCCATCATGGGTGGGGTCCTGTTGTCATGGGTGGGGTCTTGTTGGGAGATCCAGTACCCAAACAGCCCTGGGGTGGGCCACACCTCCCCTGCTTTCTTCCCCTGAGCTGTGTGGGTATAGTTGGCTCCACCTAGGGGAAAGCCCAGGACCTGGGGAAGCCCTTGTGAAGGCTTAGGATAGACATGTCCCCAGGGCAGATGGAAGAGACTCCATCCACTGTCCCTCAAAACCCAAGAGGAGGAGGTGCTGAGCTGCTGCACCGCCCTGCCACTGATAGTTGCCAGAGAAGTGGAACCAAGAGACGACCCTACAGAAGGCCTGGGGTCCTGGATGCAGCTGTGCCTGATCTATTCCAGCATGGCAGTCAGCAGAGGCCCTTTTTCTTTTGCCTGGTCAGGTTTATGAGCATGTGCAGCAGAAGCAGCCTGAATGCATGTGAGTGGACCTGGTTTGTGGCAGGCTCCATTCCAAGAGGAGACCCAGAGCTGCTGAGGTGACTGTGTGCCCTACACCTTCCCATTGGGAGGGCTGGTAGAGTACACATGTGACAATGTAAACAACCACCCTGCCCACCATTCTGTTGCCTGGCTTCTTGGACGTTAGTCCGCTTCTGCCCACTGAAGTTGGTGCCCTGGGCAAGAACCCTGCAGAAGGAATTGACAAGTGGCTCCATCTGTACCACCCCTACCACCATTCTGAGCTCACCTGTCAAACAGTGGCTTCTCCCCACAATCGAAGGAATCCTGCAGGTCCCTCACCAGGTTGGCCTGGCCCGGCATGCGGAAGAGCCCCTCTTCGGTGAGCCCACGCTCCCGGATGAAGTCCACACACTGCTCCACCAGCAGAGGGGCCAGGCGGGGGCCATACTTCCGCTCGTAGTGGACTGTGTCCTCCAGGCGCTGCCCAAAGATCCCTGGGCACAGAGGGGAGCTGGTCACACCCTCTGCCACCCAGTTCATCAGTGGACAGAGGGTGCTTGGGACAATGGAGGGTCCTATTGCGCTAAAGGTAGCCCCTTCTGAGGAAGCAAATTAAACACTGAGAGGATGCACACTAGGAGGCAGGGTCCTGGGCCTCCTGGACAGACAGTGGGAAGACTCATACCAGTAGGCAGGGCCCTGGACCTCCTGGACAGACACTGGGAAGACACACCAGGAGGCAGGGCTCTGGGCCTCTTAGACAGACACTGGGAGGATGCACACCAGGATATGGGGCCTGGGGTTACCTAGAGAGAGAGTAAGAGGGAGCAACAGGCATGTGGCCTGGCATGGACTGTGGACTTGCCCAAGTCAGGGGTAAATGGCCCGCAGGGAGCATGCATTATGCATGTTACCGATCAGTTTCCAGATGGAAACCATCCAATGCCCATCAACAGATTGAGCAGATACCTGTATTCTGGTCTTACCAAAGAACACTGTGCAGCAATGAAAATGGATGAGGCACAGCTCACAGGACAACACAGACAACACGATAATGTGAAAAACAGTCATGACTTAACATCACGAATCATTAGGGAAATGCAAACCCAAACCACTATGCGATACCACTGCCCAAAGATGGTTGCCCATGAGGATGCTGCAACAAGTGTTGGCAAGAAGCTGGAACCTTTGTACGCTGCTGGTGGAACTATAAAATGGCACACTTGTGGTGGAAAACAGTATGACACTTCCTCAAAAAATTAAAAATGGAATTACAATATGGTCCAGCAATCCCACTGCTGAATTTATATCCAAAAGATTTGAAAGCAGGGTCTTGAAAAGATTATCTGTACATCTGCGTTCATAGCAGCACTCTTCACAATTGCTAGTGGAAGCAACACACGTGCCCATCCATGGATAAATGGATAAGCAAGATATAGTCTAGCCATACAATGGAACATGATTCAGTCTTAAAGAGAAAGGAAATTCTGACACATGCTACAACAGGAATGAACCCTCAGAACATTATATGAAATGAAGTAAACCATTCACAGATGGACAAATATTGCATAATTTCCCTTACATGACATACCTAGAATAGACAAATTAATAGAGATAGTAGCATGGTGGTTGCCAGGGCCTGGGGGGAGGGGGAGATGGAGAGTTGCTGTTTGATGGGCACAGAGTTTCAGTTTTGTAAGATGAAAAGAGTTCTGGAGACGGACAGTGTTGATGGCTGCACAACAATCTGAATGAACTTAATGCTACTGAGCTGTGTGCTTTACAAATGATGAAGATAGTAAATTTTATGTTATATATATTTTATGAAAATTTTAAAAAAAATTTTTTAATTACAATGAAAAGAAGCCAGATCCTAGAATACATGACTCCATGAATGCATGACTCCGTTCACATAAAGTTAAAAAATAGGCCAAGCTAATCTGTGCTGTTAGGCCAGAACATGGTTACTTTGGTGGGTCAGTGACCTGAAGGGGTCTAAGGGATTCTGGGGTGTTAGTAATGCTCTGTCTCTGAACCTGGCATTTATTTACCCAGTTATGTTTATCTTGAAAAAAATTCCACTGAACTGTACACTTATGACTTGCACACTTGTCTTCACTCTATACTTCAGCAACATTTCATAAAAGAAGAAAGAAAGACAAAAAGAAATCAGAGGGAGAAAGAGTCCAAACACTTAATACAGGACAAGATGCCAAATGAGGAACAGAGGGAGAAAGAAGATAGAGGAACATCTGATTGAGAAAATCTATGACAACTAAATATACCTCTGGGTTAAGAGTTTCCTGGAAGCCCAGGCAGAGCAGAAGGAGTTGAGATCCATAAAGCTCTCTATCCCACAGTAGAGTAACAGGAGAAACAGACTTCTGCCAACCCTAAGCTCTGCAAGGTATTTGGAATGCCTAGTATTACTCATATCCACCATGCAGAGACTTTCCCTGCAGTGTGGCTTTTGGGGTGTACCAGGGGCATGATGCCAAAGCTCCATTCTGTCCAGGCACAAGACTCCTCAGAGATCTGGTGTGGAGCCAGCTAGGGGAGGGGCTCACTTTGTCCTCTGGAAGCCTGCATAACTTCCCCTGCACAGGGGCTGTTTTGAAATAAAAGACATCAGTTCCTGTTACACTGCCTGGCACAGAGCAGGACACAGTAAATGTTCCTCACCCTGCTCGATCTAAAGACAAAGTATATAGAACTTCCCTCTTTGAGAAAACATGTCCACGTGGGCTGTGCTTGGTGATGCCATCAATGCTTTAGGGAGAAGTGTGTGCATGTGTTGCATGTGACCTTGTGTGTGTGCATGGGCAAGCACATGTGGGTGTGTGTGTGTGAGAAGAATGCTGAAGTAGCCAACACATGGTGCTGTTCTGAATAGGTTACACCCAGCAACAGATTTAATCCTACACAGCTTGAAACCTTGGGACTATTAGTCTCTTCATCATCAACATCATCATCATCGTCATCTTGACTTTTCAGATGAACAAACTGAGAGACAGAGGGGTTTAAGAATGCACCAAAAGCTCACCCAGCATGTAGCAGGGTCAAGGTTCAAACCCAAGCAGTCTGGCTCCAGGAGCAGAAAATGCTCTGGGCCACACTGCTGCTCACTACGCAGGCTAATGTGTAGATACCTACGTGAGCATCCACCCAAGGAGTCTTGCTTCCCTCGTTTCTCTTGTCTTTCCTCACAGCAGCTTCCCAGGACGTGGGCCAGGAGGGCAACACGCAGAGGTACCAGAGGATGCAATACTGACAAGAAGGGATAGATGCCGCCTCTTGGAACTTGGTGGGTGAGACCAGCCACCACTGCCCACAAGGGTGGGACCCAACAGGCCAGTCAACAACCTTGAACACTAGGGCTGATGTTACTGCAAGATCAGCCTGTTGGCTGCCTGGGGCAGCTCTGAGAAGAAGCCAGTTCAAGGAGACCCCAGGGCCCACCACTAACAGTGTCCTGGGCTGGCCTGGGGACACAAAACCTCTGCTCCTTCTCATCTAACAAAGGGCTCAACAACCCATGTTCAACAACTGGCCACATGGGTCCACAGATGTACTTGCTTAGCTCGTACGATGATGGAAACATTTTAAAGTGACTTATTTACAATTAAGAAATTTCACATATCAATCTGGATTCCCAGCTCCTCTTGAAGAATTCACAGATATGATGGCACCAAGCTTGATCCAAAAGGCAACACTGGTGAAGCTCAGTGGCACCTGTACCCTTTTGATAGTACACACACTTGCTAATTCTCCACAGTCCCCACCATTCGCTATTGATTCTCACCCAGCCCACATTTCACTCATATGGCTTTGCTAGGTATTCATTCACCTCTTTTGCTTTGACCTCCGGAGCACAGAATTCCCCCAAGGACACTGGGGTTAGGATAAATAGGATGGGTTAAAAACGGGAAGCTGCACCTGTCGTGAATAGAGGTATCTTCTAGGACCTCAAATGAGTAGGCAGAGGACATACAGGAAAGTACTCATGGGCAGAGAGTTCTGAGAAAGGAGGGGCCAGCCAGGCAGTGCACTCAGCACCTGCCTTCTGCTTCCCTCCTCACTCACCCACATGCCTTTCCCTTCAGCTCTACCCACTATTCAGGTGGCATTAATGTGTCTGCTTTCAAACCACCAGGCCTGTGCGTGGGCAGGGACTTCTACCTGCGTGCCTCTTTCCTCCTCAGTCTGCGAAAATCTCCTATAAGCCCTTGGAAACAGCTCAAATGTCCTACATGAGGGACCCAACATGCCAGGTCTTCCCTTAGGCTCTCTCTCACGCTCTTCTGTTGCAGCTCTGACCCGAAATGGTATGAGAACACTCCCTCTGTTGGGTCCTAGGCCCTGAACCACATGCTGGTCAAGGAGAGCTGAGTGGAGAAGGGATGACACACTGACTAATGAGTGTCCCATCCCCACCTGCTGTGCCCAGTTTCCCACCCTCAGCACACAGGTGACTAAGGGGAAGAGACACACCGTAGGAAAAGTCACAACAAGGAAAACAACTCCAAAATTCCCTCTGAAGACCCATGAAGCTTCAACATCCACCCAGTCTCCTCTTGGATCCAGCTTTTCCTGCTCTCGCATTTCCTGTCCCCAGGACACCTGCCGTCCATCACTCCTATCTGGCCATCCAATCACTCCTTATGCCTGGCCCTGCTCTAGGAACTAAAGAGCTTCAGAGTTGCTCTGAGGGCTGTAAACATATAAATCCCCCTGGGCCTCCTCTGCTGCCTGCCCCCACGCTCAGGATAAAGCCTAAACTTGGCAGGCAGGCAAGACCCTGCCCCTTCCCCTCCACCAGCCTCTAGGGTGCAGAGGCTGGGCCAGCCCGGCTGTTCACATAGCATCCACTCCAGGCACCTCCCAACATCAGCATAACCACTCCCACAAACCATGAACCCTACCTGACCATTTTTCCTGCCTCCCCAAAACAGGGCTGGGAGGGCCAGGAAAGAGAAGACCACAAGGTCCTGGACACTGCTACAGAGAGGAGTTTTCAGGGAGGAAATGACGTTGGAACCAAGGTCTAACAATGAGCTGGAGGTAGCCAGGTAGGCAGGCATGGGGGGCACATAATGGTAGAGAGCAGGGGTGAGGGAGCATGGTCGGCAGTGCCCTGCCCTGGTAAGGAGCAGAAACCATGGCAAGCACTGACGCCATATGTCCCCCCCAGAGGCCCTCCAAGTGCTGAGCTTCTGCCTGGCATTGGGGTTGGCCTGGTGTGGGGGCACAGGCAGGAAGGTGATGTTCAAAGTCCAAAGTCACAGAGACAAAGATTCTGAGCCTGCACCAGTGCTGGTCTGGGTGCACATTCTGGCTAAGCCATTGAGGAATGGAGTAGCCCTCCTTTCCCGGGCCTGTCTCTCCATCTATAAAATGGAATAATCATACCTGTCTTTAGGGGCTGACTGCCCGGAGGCCCTGTATCCAGACATTGCCAGGTCCTAAGACGAACCCAACGTTCTCAGCACAGCCA